TTAAAACATTTTAAATAGGGAAATACCTTTTTCTCCATATTAGACAACATATATTCTAAATCAAGCAATCAAGTTTTAGCTAATGTATTGTAACCTTTTTCAGATGGAGATCTTTAATCCTTCATGTAAGCCTGCCAAATAAATTTTAAGTAGGCCCCCAGGCCTAACATGCTAACATGCCCAAGAACAAAACTTGTCAATTTTTATTAATAAGGGCCTAGGGCATGTAGGGCCTAAGGTAATTACTTCGATTTCTGTTCCTTTGTAAGGAAATCGTATTTTAGGCCCTATAATACATGTATGATCTTAAAAGACACAGTTGTGTGTTAGAATTAATTTACTTGTCGATGTATCTGGCATTTCTGCTTGTTTCATTTATCATGTACTTTATATAATTATTAATAGGCAAATGAAAAATAAATATTCAATTTCAATTTCTCATTGTCCCGCATGCAAGACCCAGAAAAACGTGGGCCAGTATTCAATACGTAGGAGGTTATTGGGGTTTCATTAAAAATATTACACATTGTTTATGTTAAATGTACATGTGTAATTATTTCTTTGCATTTTTTGTTACTGTTATGTAGGTCTGCATGTTCTACCTCCGTGATTTGATGTACAGCAGATTGTAATGGATGTCAATCCTCATTCCCAGTGCCTACAGGCCATGTGCAGATTATGTGGAGAGTGCCGGGCTGTTGCAAAGGGTCGACGACCGATTCCTAAGGAAAAATTTGCAAGGCAAATTGAAGTGGCATTCGGCATTTTAGTCGGTGATGATACCCCCACTTTGCATCCGGCATTTATTTGCAAGGTTTGTGAGGTCAAGCTGAGGCAGTGGTGGACCAAGTTCAGCAAGAAGAATATGAAGTCAGCTGAGTGCCGTATTCCTCTGGCATCATTTGGTCAAGCTGAATGTGAACTGTGCAGAAAACCTTCATGTACGTCACCAATATCAGTGCAACTTGCAGACTACCAAACGGAGGCATTCAAACACGGTTTGTTACCTTGGTTCACAGCTGATTCTTTGAAGATCATGAAGATGAGTTCGAGTGGTCACCCTGTTGTGTTTGTGTCGATTTCCTGGAATAAATCATGGCAGCTCACGATTGCAGATGTCATCACTGAGATTGATCGGTACGAGTTGGAAATTCCTGCGCAGATAAGCTCAAGTGATTGTGGCCGGTTATGTCGTTTCATTGCGAGGAGGTATGTTTGTCCAGGAAATGATGACTTCGAAGAATTGATTCACCTGAAGGAGGGGCCGGAGGGCCAGATACCAGTGTCTATCACACCTCAAGACAAAGTAAGTGGAGGTACGATCCGGCATAAAAGCTGTCACCTACTTGTCGAAGTAGATTCCAGATGCGAGGTCTGCCGAATCCACAGAAGTGATTTGTTCGGAATGTTGCATCGATTGAAAAATAAACAGGGAAATTCTGTTGGCGCCTCGTCATCTGCTCCTCACAGGAGCATGACTCTTAGCCAATTAAAACAAAAGGCTGAAAGCCTACAGGCAGAAAGAAGAAATTTAAAACGTAAGAATGCTGCTCTTCAGGAAAGAATCTTGACACTGATGGAGGAGGCAGTTCCCTTAGATACCCGTCAAGAAGATGTCATCAAGGCACCACTGCAGAAATATGATGGAGAGATGATGGCAGCATTTCCAAAGGGCTCCCCTTCCATGCTGATGTGGGAGCAACAGAGAGAGTCTGCCCTGAAGGGCAAGCAGATGCGATGGCACCCTGCTATAATTAGGCTGTGCATTGCCCTTCAGAGCAAATCTGCTTCCGCATACAATCTGATGCGAGAGTCAGGCTTCATGAGGCTTCCCCATCCATCCACTCTCCATCCCTACAGCCATTTTGTAGATGCTTCCTCTGGTTTTAGTGCTGGGCTGCTTGAGAGGATCTACAAAGATAATCACTTTGCTACATGCAGTGAAGAGGAGAAGAATGTCAGTTTGCTATTCGACGAAATGAAGGTTAAATCCGATTTGGTATATTCTGTTAGGTCAGGGCGGATCGTCGGTTTCACTGACATTTCAGAAATTAGTAATGAGGTGTCCAACTTCGAACGACGCTGCAAGGGAAGTACAGAGCCAGAGTTGGCAAGTCATGTACTGGTGCTGATGGTCAGGGGTTTATGCAGTTCTCTTCATGTCCCTGTGGCATACTATCCCACCAAAGGTGTATCAAGCAGCCAGCTTTACCCTTGCATATCCGAGGCTATTCTCTACCTGGAGTTAGCCGGATTAAAAGTAAGGTCACTGGTTTGTGATGGAGCGTCTCCAAATCGGAAGTTCTTCAGGCTTCATGGGGATGGTACACCAACTAGCCCGGTTTACAGCACGTCAAACCCCGCAGATCCATCCAGGCAGTTGTACTTCATTTGCGACGTGCCCCACTTAATGAAAACAACGCGGAATAATCTGGAGAACTCCGGCTATCACAACAAGACTAAAAACCTCATGGTAAGCTTGCGTGTGTATTTGGTTGTCTTTAATTATGCCTCACTTGTTTTTAAAGTTTTTCCTTTAACCTGTTTCAACTGTGCCAACAGGTGCGTAAAAGGTAACAGAAAAGCAAAGCTGTGGGAACCTTAATTTTCATCAGAATGTCTTGATGTCAATGTACAAATGTGGGGAAGCGTTCCATATACAAAGTGCACTTGACACCCTGTGTACAAACCCTATGGGACTGGTTTTCATTTAAAATGTTTGTAGACTCTCACTGCTAACATAGACTTTTCTGACCAGTAATTAATTTCTGCGGCCTGACTAATTACTAGAGGAAAGTGAGTGCACTTTGTACGTGCAACTGTTTCCCAAAAGTGATAAGGCCTTGATCACTTTAATTTTTGCATAATTTCATGCAGCAAAAATAAAAAAAAGTTAAGCTGGGCAAAATTTGAATTCCACTTTATTTTAAACTGACAATTTCCCACACAGTTTGGAATTATTTTATTTATATGCAGTATGACAAGCAGAGCATCAGCTGGTTGCAGCTTCTCCAGCTCTACGAGTGGGATATTGGACTGGAAAGGAGCTCCCCTGGTCTGCGACGTCTGCACAAGATCCAAAGTGACCATCTTCACCTCACACCGTCGTTGAGGATGAGAGTGTACTTGGCTACTCAGGTTAGTACATGTGCAGATGGGGGGGGGGGGTGGGGTGTTCATTGTTTCCAACACAGATGGAAACCCACCAGCTGTGGTCAATATTGAGAAAAAGTGCGGGTGGGCAATCAGTCATCTTGTGAAATAAGAGGCAAGCTATATTTATATTTGTATTGTAAACATGCCAAAAGCAGTTGTAATTTTGTGTAATTGTGAAGTATTCTGCTTTTAGTTTTGTATTAGGAGTTTCTTTCAGTATACGAGAATTTTCCATTTGTGTTTCTTTTTGGTACATGTACACCCATGGTGTAATACTTGTAATAATACTATTATTTCATTCAATTCGGTTACTTATTGAGCTACCTTTTCCTCCTTTTGTAAACATTAGATGTTGAGCTCAACTGTGGCCAATGCACTGGAGTCTATGGGTCGGCCAGGTACATCATCCACTGTGAAGTTCCTGAGGATGATGGACCAGTTTTTCGATTGCCTAAATGTCAGCAATCCTCTTCAGGGCATGAGGTCTCGTAAGCCGGCTCTGGAACCCTACACCAGTGTTCAGGACTGGCGCTTTGAGGTAAATTTAATGCTAGATCTAAATGCTAACTTTAATATCACTGTTACTAATTTGCAGTTTTTCATCATTTCCAAGGCCTTATCTTTCCATTTATATGACTTTTGTTTTAGTGGCTCCTTTCTGACTTCTTGGGTTTCTTCAAGGAGTGGGACAACCAGGTTCAAGCCATAGATGGTCTAGATGCCAAGACAAAGCAGACCATGTGCCTCAGCAAAGAAACAGTGGAGGGATTCCACATAACTGGTATGATTTGTGTTCGTTAACAAAGGTACACTGAGCAGGGGCAGTACCCCCTTGACATACCCTCCTCCTGGAAGTGTGTTGTGTTCTTCAAACTGCAAGCATGATTGTACTTCTTTTTTGTTTCAGTGACGACGCTTTGATTTTTCTTCATTTTCGATTATTTTCAGTTTGTATCACAGTTTAGGAGTCCCTTAAGCCCCTCCCTCAAAAAAATGGGCCCTCAAAAAAAGGGGCTGCAGAAGTGCATGTGATTCTGTCACCATTTAAATAGCTGCAACTCTCCCCACCCTCACCAAACTCCTCAGAAGAATCTAGCTTTACACCTGCAAGGGTATATCAAGGTGTTGACATTGAGGTGGAAAAAGTAATTTCAGTTGCCTCATTCACCCCTGATCAGTTAGCTGACAAGTCGTCAATCAGAGCCCAGTTTTCGTACATGTATTTGCGAAAGATGTTAAATTCATCTGTTCATTATTCAAATACATGTAAATCTCGTAACCCACTCCTGGAAAAGGTGGAGTTGGAGAGGTAATTGCATGAGCTTCTATTTTTATGCATGTTTGACTATCACAGCCTTGGTTCCAGAAATATGCACTCATTTGCATATTGCTTAATTTTGTCTGCCCTCAAACACTTAATCATCCATGACTCATAATTGCACCACACGCCTCATATTTTTTTTGTGGAGCGGGGCATAATTTACAATCTTTGTAGTGCAAATTGTATGTGATGTGTGTTCTCTTGTTTTCCCAAATTTCCCAGTGAATTCATTTGTTGAGCTCGCCAAAGTTCTACTCTCTTCTGGTGTGAAGTACCTCTTAAGTGAAAAACTCAATCAGGACCCCTTAGAGGAGTACTTCAGCAAGCAGCGGTCTGCTGGAGGAAGTTGGGACAACCCCTCAGCCGAACAGTTTTCCCATAGCATGCTCTCGTTGTATGTGGCATCTACTAGTGCCAAAGCATCTAAGAAGGGGAATGTTCGGAAAGGACAGCCACCTGAAGACATTGTCATCGACAACACACCACTCCCCAAAAGAAAGTGACTCTGGAATCAGGCTGCCAATTCATTTTTTGCTTGATAATTATTAGGTTAATGAAACACAACTTAACGAAAGTTAAAGCAGACATGGGAAATGAAGAAATATCCTTTTTATGTTACACACGTAAACAGGGAATGGCCCAGAAAAAATTGATGTTAACATGTTTCCATTCTTTGAAAATAAACCCAATTAAATCGCTACAATTTTGGGAAGCAACTAATCTTCCCTTGCCATAATAATGAGTAACAAAAATGTTGATTGTGAAGTAGTTTAGACATACTTTATAGTGCGCTTTGATTCAGTAACACTACAGTTGAAAAAAGATATTTTGTACATCTTGGCCACCAGCAATTCATGAAATTCCAACATTAACAATATGCTAGAGGATTTTTTTGCCATTCTGAAGGGATTAGTTGAAGGATTAATATTTTAACAATTGTCAAGATGTTGATTGATTACATTTTCTTGCATCCTGTATAATTTTTTAGTACTGCTTTTGATCAGTACCTGTTCTTGCACAAGTATTTAAGAAGCAAGTTCCTTTCTTAGGGCCTTCTCAGCTTTTTTGGAGGCTTGACCAGCCGCTTTTTTTAAGTTGAGATAAACCTTCAAGAATGCTTTTATTCTGATTTTTATGTATAAATTTACAACAATGTCTAACAGGCGCTTTGAGACATCTCCGGAAATCTTTTCTCTTGTTAAATTACACCAGTAGTTATGAACTCTACTTTGGGACATCATTTTTTCTTTCAAACTCCTCTTGATGTTTTTACCAATGAATTCCTCTAAGTTGCCTTTGGAGAGGAATTGACGGGCCTCATTTTCTAAAGTTCTGAAAAATACATAAACATCATCATTAATGTTAAACAGTCCTCCTCGATTTTGGGCCTGTATCCATTTATTAGTGTACTCCAAAAATGTTTGTTCAGTGTCTGTGGTGCAAGAACGCCAGGTGGCAAGGATTGAACAAAAAACAGAACTCGTTTCATTGAGTTGTTTCCTAAATTTTTCAAAAAGAGCAAAGGGTACATAGCCTGCTACATATCTAAGCACTTGTTCCTCCTCTTTAGAAATGTTAGAAATGGAAACTTGGCTGTTTGAAGGAGCTACAGGAAGATCAGTAGCATGTCTGTCTTTTATGAGCAGAGTAATGACAGATAACAGCAGATGTTGGTAAACAATGTGAATGTGGTTGCCATCAGTACAGATAGAGATGGACTCCAGAAAAGATTTCCATTCATGGATGGAGCTCAGTTTAAATTTATGAAAATGTTTCCACACAACATCCATAGCCTCTGGTTGAAGAAATTTGTCATCCCCGGCCGTAGCAACGAACCAGAGAGCAGTGACGAGTGTTACACTGAAGTCTGTGAATGCAGAGGAGTCTTGAACTTGTAGCACTGATGTCACCAGGGTCATTGCCAAAACCGCCAATGGATATGTCCCTGTGAAGATGGGATGATTCTGTATTCTCTCCAAAGCAGCTTTCACATACTCTGCAGCGTTGGTTTTAGCATGCTCCACTGTGAAGCGTTGCGCTGGCCGTTTCACTAGGGTAAAATTCAAACAAGTATTAAGTAAAATTCCTTGGTCCTTACAGTACACACCTGTGCATTTTAATAACTGTTGGACCAGACATGTATCTATAGGAAGTACATGTATAGTGTTATTTGTACATGAAGATGTCCAAGATAGAAAAGAAAGCAAAAAAATGGAGTTATTCAAAAAGACATGTTTGGGCACACAATCATTTTTACCAAATAGAATTACTGTAATTGAGTGGGAAACGTGGGTGATTAATGAATTTATCATCAAGCTTGTTCAAAAATTTAAATTTTTCCAATGTTCACTGCTGGACAGTCATTGTCCATATGCTGTCCACTACATGTACATGTATATTAGACTATAAAATGTAAAAATGAATACTGCCGTCAAATTTTTATAGCCTTGCATGTGCGTGCAGTAGATGCACAGTATTTCGATGTATGTTGTCATTGAACATTAAATACCTGGACTTGAAGCTTTTTTCTTGGATTTCTTTTCTTTTTCTTTGCAGCTTTTCTTGTTGGTTGCCTTCATAGCTGTTTTGGCTTTCTTGTCAGAACCTTGAGCTTCAATCTTAGTACTTGTAGAACTAGAAGAAGCTGACTTGGCTGTGTCGGTAGTGGATACAGCTGGATCGGGAGTAACTACCTCTGCCGAGGCAGATGCTTCCATGGCTATGTCATCTTCTGCAGTTGCCTTGTACCCGTCATCTACAGCATGGAGGTCTAATTCTATCTCCATGTCTGTGATAAAACATGTATAAGGATAAAATGTAAAATTGAAGTGGAGTGGTCGATCGTGTTATAACATGGAAAAATAGCTGAATTCCTCAATTGAAAAAGGAGTATCTGATCATGATCTGATAGGCCCTGCTTTAATGTTGCTAATGCCTACAGCTTAGTGGGATATAACGCTGAAGTGATGGATGGACATGTGGCTCCGTGCTCTAAACTTTCTAAAGTTCATGTTCACCAATTTTATGACAAATAATTTGGAATCTGAAGGCAGCTTGAACATGATGAATTTTACCTCCATATGGTCTCTTACTTTGGAAGATCATAATAGGCCTAGTTGCAAATTTAAACGTATCACAACAAAACCCTTCTCTTACAAGTATTTAAAAAATAACATACAGATCAATAATGTACAAACTTGAGGAAAACGCGTACCGTTTTCTTTGCAAACATCACAATACCAACTGCCTGAGGGAATAGTATCTGCCGTCAAGCCCACGCATTGGTAGTGAAACCACTCAATTTTGCATCCACTGGCATCGCACGCAACCATATCAGTAGTTGCCGGTAAACCGCACAAACAGAAGCAGAGAATATCATTTTCGTGATCAGATCCAATACTTCCGTCAGAAACGTCTTCTAAGTCAACCTCGCCCTCGGAAAACTCGCTAAANCGCCAGCAGGGTGCAAACAAATCGAAAGCGATTCGTCCCTCGGGAAAGCGGGGAATTTCCATCCTATTCTAAAAATGGAAATTGCAGTAACTTCACGTGAGTCGTCCATACAAACTCGGCATTTATACTGGACCCACACTTTCGTCGGAGATTATCAAATGAAACGTCTCGAGCTCAGCGTTCAGAAATCAACTTGAATATTCAATGTGTGAATTTCATTGCAAAAGTGCGACTGTGTAGTGACTACAAGTTACAACTTGCAGAATACAAGGCCCAACTTTTTGAAATTGCTGTGTATCTTAACAACAGAAAACAAATCGAAAGGTACGTATCATTCGCTGTTTTGATATCACAAAGAAAGAAATATAATTTAGAATGATTTTTAGTGATCGTCACCATTTTTTCAGCTTGTTCTATTTTCTTAGCTGCTTAGTTCACATCAAATTGTAACTTACGGTCAGTACTGTTTACAGTGTCAATAATCATACTGTCATGTATCAATTATTGTTGCATTTTTTTACAGAAATAGTGTTGCATCAGTTTCTTAATTATTGAAATTTTTTACATCAGGTTTGGACAGAGCATAGCAGTATGCTGGGCAACAGTCAAGACGAAACAGACAGCAAACACCACCATGATCACCCCTGTTCACCACTGGTTGCCCTGAGACGTAAACTGCAGAGAGTAATGCCTGGTCACCGGTCACATCGGTCTCGCTCACTGAGCACGGACAGAAAGACCTCAGAGAGTAACAGAGACAGCGCACTTTCCACTTCCTCTGAGGTAAGACTGTAAAATGTTTTAAAAATGGCTTTACCGTATACATAATCATTACGTACCACTCCCCAGCACGTGTCAAAGTGTACATAGGGCCTATGTACATTATTATGTTTGGCACAGTTGGTCGATCTGCCCAGTCACTTAATCTCTGCACAGTTGGTTAATCTTATTGCATGATTTGTTGTTAATTTTGCCATCAGCCAGTCACTGTTTCCTTGTAATTTAGTCGCTGACACTTGTGAATGATTTTTTCAAACCAGTAAAGTTGGAGTATACCCAGTAAGATATTGGACCCAAAAATCTGGAGTGGTATATGTGTGGAGCATGTAGACAACACACATACATGCTTCGTTTTTCTTGTCCCATATGTGGCTGCAATAGAACGTATTCGCAGCGTCCCCAATTTCCTGAATGTACAGTATAAATTTTAAACCCGTAATGGGATGGTACCGGGTGATTTTGGGGGTCGGAATGAAATCGTAGAATATAGTCTGGTTCTTTGAATTTTATGTTTTTCAATAAATACACTACGTTGGGGAATATAACTAAAATTGGAGACGCCGCTAATACGGTCTATTGAGTTGGAGAGGATCAGCTAATCACGCATAGCCATTAAACAATCTGATAATGGCTGTAGCCATGGTACTTATCGAGTTCTTTGCATATTCAAGCTGCAACCAAGTGATTTGGGTGTGGTCTAACTTGTCCTGAAAGTTACCTGGTCACTTTCATTCTTTCTAGATAGCTGTTACATACTTCGAAAGAAAAAGATTCAAATTTTATATAGTTTTGAACTTTATTTTCTATTCTTAAGAATTAAACTGAAAGTAACAAAATTGTGATTAAAATGAAAGTAACTGTATTCCCAATGAGGATGGATGGAACTTGCTTAAAACTACAAGCTGGTTGTGGTTAAAAATTTAAATCAAATCTGTAAGTGTTACAGCTCATCAATTTCAACCACGGAGAAGAAATTCAAAGATGCAAGAAGCTTTGAGAAATCGAGCTCAAATGCAAGGTTTCAACTCTTTTGCTACTGATAGAAAAGTTGTGGACTTAAAAAGCACTCAATATTGTATTTGTTTCCCTGAATGAAAATTAGCTAAAAAAAAAGAAAAGAATTTTCTGAACTAGTGCCAGTGGTCTTGTAGAAAAAGAACAAATCATGATGTCATGTTTCTTACTAGTGTTGTCACGGCAACACTGTTTACGTGAACACTGTCATAATAAATCATGGTGAGTCAGTGCAGAGGGTAATTTGGCATAGAAAAGATGGCTTTGTCATGAAAGGCAGCCACTCAGCTTTTGATTGTGACATCGCAGGTACAATACGCTCTGACACTTTCAAAGGCCAAGCTGAAAGGATGTTGTTGGAAATAGGTACCTTGTTCATATCGGCGAGCAAAATCAGCCCAGACCAGTATGAGAAATCCAGACAAACACCCCGTTTAGCGGCATGGACCCCCCCTTCACCCTTGCATTTACAATCAAGCAATCAAGCAAGAAACATCTATACGTCACATCCTTTGCTACATGTACTTGGAATTCATGGTTAGTGATGTCGCAATCACACTTTTGCCAGAGGTTTCCGAGTTTTGTTGACTGCATGCATCAGAAGTCAATGGTTGTAGTCATTACAAATGAACACTTAAGAGGATTTCCAGTCACATGATTTTTGATGGTCCGTGTTCAACTTACGCAAAAAATATACGCAGAAGCGCACAGTCCTCCGAAGTCTTTCAAAATTCTGGCGTATGTAAAATTGCCAATAGAAATACACAGATTCAAATTGATACAAGTGCCACTAAGAACATGACATGCTTCCTGAAATGCCTTTGCCCGTTATGTTAAATCACGTGAAAAACCTCTATAGCAGCTCACTGAAGTGTAACTAAGAACATGTTTGTTTGCCTTGCTTTTCAGTAATGGTGTGGGAAAAATGGATCTTTTCTGTGCATGTGGGAGGGGAGGGGTCAGAGGGTGAGGAGGAAGGGATTATCGGACCAAATCGTAATTTGTCATGATTTTTAAAATCAACAACTTTTTTCGGAGCGTAGGATTAGGGTGGTAAGATTAGGATGATAGGTTGATCATTAAGTGTGGCGCCAAATTGTTACTCTAAACTCCCCCTTTGCCCCTCATTCCCCCCCCCCTGCCCCGCCCTTCCCAACAAATAGGATAATCTGTGAGATATGAACTTTGGGTTCAGTAATAGTGTACCCATGTGTATGCCAGGTTGAAAAGTTTGTTCAACCAACAGCCCATTTATGTCCTGGGAAATTCCTTGATTGCATCATCTACAAACTTCCAGTCACTGAGAAGAGTGGCCTGCAGGGTTGAGGGTGTTGGCTCCTTGCCCACACCGCATGCCACCCAGAGATGGAGTCTCTGTCCTGGTTTTTCTCAGAATTCACAATGGTCTTTCATTCATTGTTCACCACAGTCAAGGTCTAACCAAAGTGGTTGACAAGCTGGGGAGGAAGGCTCCTTGTGACCAATGAGTGTAATCTTTAAACACTATGCCTTAACATGGCACCATCATTGTGAACAGGTGTTTTTTTGGTGGCAAGCAGCACAGCACTGCGAAAGTATAATTGGATAACAAATGCTTGTTTTTAATTTCCAGTATAGATTCAGTTGGTACATGTAGTTCAGAGTTAAGCAAGAGGGAAACTGAGGAGTTTTAATGAAGAAATTGGAATATGTCACACGTATTGTTCATCTTGATCTTTGTTATTCATCTACAATTACATCATACATGCACCATTATTGCTACACTGTTACATGCAATTTCTACTTCATTTTTGTATGGCCCGGTACATTCTTTCATTTTAACCTCAAGAATATTCCAGGTTCTGAATGGTTGACAGCAGTCTCCCACTTACCCATGGTCTTCTGTTTGTTGTGCATGGTCATGACATGATGTAACACTGGGGAAATCCCTCCCTGGTTTTCAGCTGCTTGACCGGTTGTCCTCCTGGTGATGAAATCATTGTTTTGTTTTCCCCGCAGCCTTCCTGCGGTATGAAGCTTTCCCTTTTTTCATTCAGTAGCGATCATATCCTTGGCTTAATGTATTTCCCAGAATGAGTTTGCAGTTTTAAGTATTCAGGATTTCAGTCACTCGGAACGTGTCTCTGCACAAGCATCAGTTAACTTTACTGTTAGTCGCTAGCCACAAACTTTCATTTTCATTAGGTATGAACATTTGTTCCTCCCTCCCCACTCACATCAGATTGTTCACCGATTTGTGGTTTTTATGTTGTAGACTGCAGTGTGATGCAATCCTCTGAGCATGAGAATCCATGAAATTTGATTTCATTTTCGCAAGTCACAATCAGGAAGTTCATATACACGTAGCATATTTGGGGTGTGAATTTTCTGGGTTTTCGTATAATCCTTGAAGTAAACCAAAAACTAAAAAAGGTAGTTATTATTTTTTATAGTTTAATTTTTTTTGTTCATAAGGGAAAATTTCATCACATATCAGTTCAACTTTCAATGGTTTGGCAGGTGTTTTTTTCCAGGATGTTTGTTCAGCACATGATTTGCGGAATTTCCAGTAATAAATGTCCCATTTATCTGCCTTTGCATCCTGTACCAGTGCCCTGTGTGGGCATATGGAATATCTGACCTCCACAAGGAAGTAACTTGCTCTTTCAGTTTACAAAGTTGGATGACCTGTAGTGACCTTAGTGGAGTTCAAGGTCTTTGGTGGCGGGAGTGGGGCTGGATGGTGGGGAAATTGTCACCTAAAGTTGTTCAGTTGTGCGAAAAATTAAGGATTCCTTGAATCTGAGGTTTCAGGTGACCATGTTTGCATGAAATACTCAGTTGGATGCGGCCAAACCCCATTTTTTCCCAGAATTTAATTTTCTTCTCTGAAGTTTCAGTGTTGATTCTCAGATTGAACTTTCTGTGGAAGGGTTGAGTCAGAGAAGGGTTATTGATGGAATAAGTAATATTTGTTGTCCCTTTATTAACCCTAACCCTCCTCAATCCTTCACCTGTTGGAGGATTGAGGAGTGTTAGGGTTAAAGTCAATCACTTTGTTAGGTTCAGGCCCTTACCAAGTCCCAGTAGTCTTCTCAGATACTCAAAGAATTTTCTGTTGCCTATGTATGCACAGTAGCCCTTTGAGTCTTTAGCAGGTGATTTAAATGGAAGCTAATTGCGCAATCAGTTTGGGCCAAGTGATGGCCACAAATTGCTGATAGTTCTTGACCCGTGCCTCCATCATTCACGAGTATGCCATTCCAAAGTTGAGAAGCATGTGATGTGGACAATTCTATTGGGCAGTAAATGGAAAATTCCAGACTGCAAAGCCAGAGCTAACTGTGCATATTTGCAGACCTGTGCAGTTGCCCTTGGGTCACCTGTGGGGTTTCCCCCTTCATCACATGCAGGGGCTCGTTGAGAGCTTTTTTTCAGCAGTACTAGGGATTGCATCATGCACTCTTCCATTGAACTGGTCTGCAAGGGTGAGTGGGTTTGTACTCTGTGGATCTGGAGAGTTCTATTCACTTTGAAGGTCGGTACATGTACGTACATGCATTTGCATAAAAGAATCAAACATGGTCCACGCAGCACCATGCTCTATGGTACCTACATGTGTACCTTAAGCCCGGGTATTAGATTCTCCATTATCCAAAGATTTCTTCAGCCATTGTAGAGACCTCTCCTCGGTGTAGTGTGGTTAAACAGTTTCATAGAGTGGCATTTTCACAGCCTGGTCCTCAAGGTGTCATTGAAATGGCAAACGGCATATTGTAGCTGGTCAGAGATAGAGTCCTGGTGGGATTTGGGATGCCAACTTACCAACTTTAAGTTTGTCCCTTTTGCAGCATATTCCTCTGACTCTCACTAGGTTTGCTCATTGTCTATGTAGTAGTGTGTCAACCCCAAAGAAGCAGTGAAAGTGCCAGGACTTGTGAACGTGGGAGGTGTACCGGCACATGTACATGTATAGAAGTATCTTTGTAGCTTCCGGGTTTCATACATGCAAATTTCCTGTCTTTCACTTCTTCTACTTCTTCAAAAACAAAAAGTGGAATTTGTTGAAAAGGTGTAATGTTTTAAAGACAGTGGAAGATATTGTCAAACCCCTACATCAACGTGATACAAGTCTTCCCCTCCCACCTGACACCCCGTCACCGTACCACCTGGGAGCCACCCACCCCCCCTTTTACTCATTCATATTGCAGTGGGTATGTACATGTACGTACTCTGCTCACACAATATTGCGTGCACTACAGTGCTATATATACCAGAAAGCCAGGAAGCTAACCACATGATGGCTTTCCTGACGGAAGCCGGCATACACGGCACCCAGCCTGAGCTACTCTCTTAGCTGCCTTGCAGGGGCGGGTGCATTGCTTTCTTTTGGGAATTCCAAAACCTGAACCCTGGACTTACATTTTTTTCAGATCAGAAAAGTGTGGTCAGTGGCGCATTGTGATTCGGAGTACTTGGCAGTTGGTGATGAAATCTCCTTTGTCATTCAGAGGGGAAACTGTTTCACTTTTGGAGTTTTGTTGACTGGTAAATCATCCAAGATCTCCTCCATGTACAGTTTGTTTTGAACCAAGCGATGAGTCAGCCAAAAGACTAATGCAAAGGTTGTTGGGCAAATTACAATGCAGTATCACAACTTGATTGTAAATCTGTGTGGTATTAAAGGATAGTGATGCAGATAAAAATCTGCAAAATCAATAACGATGCTTGGCATTAAAGAGATAATCCTTTTGAAGAAGTTAGTTTTCATCTCCCAGAAACACAGAAGAGAAAAACATCAGACTTAATGCACATGCCAAGATCTCATTTGTAAGACAACTCCAACAAAAAAAAAAAATTGCAAATGGTTTGAGTTGGTTTCAACCGCAGAGTACCGGTGATGACTCAGTCAAATTGGGGATTCCCTGAGTGTATTTGTCAGCTGTGTTTCCACAGATAAACACAGGTGCAGGTGTTTGGACATATCCAGACAGGAAGACGGCAGGGTTCAAACTATGCTCAGACAGTGGTTAATTGACTTTGAACTGCTGTCAGACTGCAGATTGTACTGTGCCAAAACCATTGAAAACCACCCATAATTGTCTGAAAGGCTCCAAGAAAAAACAAATGGGGAAAAAAGTGGGATCTAGTGGATCTACTCAGTTTAGGGTTGGAAGATAAGACCTTTGAATGGGTTCCAGTGTGATGAAAATGACAGTTTAGGGAATTAAATCACAGTTTCACATTTAACTTCAAAAGTTACTATCGAATCTTTACCTTGTGTATTATACTAAAACTAGAGTGTGTTCGGTAAATTCCCTCTTCTTTCTTCTTGAAATGACTCCAGATAATTTCTTTTCACATGAACCTGGCACGGATGTGCACTATTAGGCTGTGCATGTGATAGGAAACACATTCATGTGTTGGTCTGGCCTCGTGACATCTAAAAAGGGCAAACACGGAAAAAGAAACTAACATTCTCTGGTTCCTAGCTGAGCATAAGAAGAGAAAGTCATTTGTAGATCAGCCACTGAATGGCAACAGGAAGTGACATCAGAAGCATACAAGAGGATTAGAATTATGTCCCTGTCGCGTGCTTCCTGCCAACTTGGGTCATTTTAACTTCTGGGTCAAAGCTGGTATTTAAACAGAACGCTGCTTGGGTTTTACCAGTTTTGCGCTGGCAAGTGCACAGACAGCTAGACAACTGTTGAGTTGTAGATTCATCCCCACTGGTACTAGCGTTTGATACACACCTACTTTGCTGATCTTTAACTTTCTGGAATCAGGCCATGAGCCGTGAGCGGGTAGGTCAGTAGCAGGGAGACATCTACCGGTAGCATCCCAAATGCTGTGCTAGTAGTTCTCATTGTATAGGGTACTTATTCTGGCTGCCTCGCTGGAACCATCAACATCAAAGTTGTATGCATGTTCCTTGTGTGCATTTCCAGAATTCTCTTGCATGCACTCGGACATTTTTTTGAAAAGGCGTACATTCTTTATGGGCTGTACGAAGACAACTTTCAAAATGCACAGCTGTGGTAGTAGTGGCTGTAGATAGACCAGTGACGTCAAGTCACTGATCCCAACTCCGTTTTTTGTGCTGGCAACCCTCCGGAATCCTTCGAACCACACCACTGTGTAGAATCTAAATGAATCCCCTTACTACATGTATATGTAAAGTAACAGTGTACGTATACCCTCCTAGAACCCACAAAATCCTACTGGTACATGTAGTTGGAACATTTTGAAGGATTTGCATGAATCAGGGTTAGCATTGTACTGTTTTGAAGTCCCTTAGATACACGAAACCTTTTTTAACTGTATTTTTTTTTCTGTATTCCCGATGCCATACAGGGAAAACCTAAATTTGATTTCTTTTTTCCCATCTTGTTTGTTTTTGCAGGGGTCTGAACTTGAAGTACACGCACAGATGGAGCTGGAAACCATGGCTTGCAGACAGTCCTCAGGCAGTGGCCACGCCTGCATACAGAGAGAAACCGTAGCCTTATCAACCGCCAGTAAATGTCTGGGCGATTCAGACAAGGTAAATGTCTTGGCACGCCTGCGGCACTATGACTATAAGGATAAAGGAAGCTTTGGAAGCCCGTGCGGAATTTCAAGAAGCATTTCTTGAAAATCCACACAGCCTTCCGAAGAAGAAATGGCAGCATGCTCAATGGAATTAATATGAAAAAAAAATTAGATCTTTTTTTATTTTTGTCTCTTTTTTTTCCCCCTCCAGATTCCAGAGGACAAAACGATCGTCCATGTCATGTCACGGGAAAGCCAACAAAACGATGGCCTGCTGCAGGTGACCGACCAAGTCATCGGCACGGATACCTCAGGGAAGCCAGTGTACAAAGTGGACTTCAGAGGATGTGTCGGTTGTCCAAACAGTAAGATAATCTTTTCTCCTCTTGTTAATTTTAAATTGAAAGTCTGAAGAAAAATCTCTCTATCCTCCCTGGTTCCCCTCCCATCCCTTCAGTACCTCAGTGAAGGACGATTATGACAAATTTCAAAACAAATGATAACAGGTATATTCAAATAGGATGATATCACTTGATACCTGGAAAGTAATCGTCAAACTTTGTTGCTCCAAATTTTGTCTGAACCTTGTCTTTCTTCCTTGCTCCAATGTTATAAGACAAAATGGCGTACTTCCCTCTGTCGTTGTAGCTTCCTACCCTCCCACCCCAACATTTGCTTTTTGCGGTGAATAATATCAATTGGCCAGATGTCCTTTATAGCTGAAAGTAGTTTGGTCCAAATTGTTTGCCACTGCATTAGTGCCAAAATTTGTCCAACACTGCCTTTGAGTTCAGTTCGGTACTCATTTCCTGGGCAATTTTTTTTTTCTTTTTGACACAGCCGACCTTGTGTGGTACATGGTCGACCCAACTGATTGTGACGAGTGCAAACGTGTGTATCTGCACACGCTCAACCCCGCTGAGCCATTCGCGTCGGCAGCGAGATCAGGGACACCATTGGAGAACTACAGCTACAGGCTTTGCCATTTCAAAGATGGCCAGAATTCCTTCCTTGCAGCACACAAGGCCGGGAAGGTAGGTCCACACCTTCCCAAATTATTGCCAAGAATACAAATTACCCCATATCTATCCCAAATACAAATGTATGATGGCGCCAGGAGACATTAACCAAATCGTAGTGATTTGGTCAAGAATAATAACTGAATAACTCCAGAATCGGCCAGAATGATAGTCCGAGTAGAATCTCCTCCTAACCCAACAACCCCTGTCGGATTTAGGACCAGTCACAGAGATTGTCCTTATTGCACTCAAAGCCTTGACGTACCCTCTTTTGTTGGAGAGCAGAGAATATGCTGTTTGTTCTCCTACACACTGTGAGATTGGGGTGACTTTGGGAAGCCTCTGATCAGAATTCTCAGCAGTTTTCTTCGAATGATCACAACACGACTACAGGAGAATTTTCAAGTGCCAAAAGTTTGTTCGGCTTTGTTCATGTATTCATAATCGAGGCTGTCTTATTGTTTCCTTTTTTTCTTTTTTTGTTTCAAATCCAGGCCAGGTCCAACCAAAAATTTGATGTTGACTGGAGCGGCCTCATAGATGTATGTTATCATCCGACGAAGGGTGGCATGGTCACCCTTCAGGAGAACAGCAACTCTCACAGGGCCATGGACGGGCTGTTCTTTGGGGCCAGCCGGGATGGTGAGGTGCACCTGTTTGGCAAGTCCACCTGCCAGGGGTACTGCATCAACCCCTTCACCCTGTTCTACGTGTACGACGACGTGAGCGGGGAACAGAGCGAGGAATTGAAAAGAACCAACGGGGAAAAGTAGAGAACCGTTCGGAGGGATAAAGTTGTGGGGAGATTCAGAGACCAAGATCTGCCCTGTGAGATACAAAGGAATAGATTTGCTGTTTGTAGACGGCTCAACTGAGCACAAAGTAGGCCTGTAGTTTCACCACCAGCTTTTTAGCCTAGAAGTTAGATTTGCTAAGCCAAGATTTGCCCAATATCTGCAGCGGGGACCAATGAAACGAGGTCTGAGAACATGTTGGAAATGAAATGAAAATTAGAGTTTCCTACTTTTGGTTGTATAAAAAATTTGTGCGTTTTGAAATCATCCACAAAATGAGACGAGAATAGACCACAGCCATCAATTTGTGAAACCACATGTAATCTTGACCATAAAGTTTCTGAGAAGAACAGGGCAAACAACTAAATGCTGTACAGTTATATGTGCATACATTAATCATAAAAAGTATACAACTTAAGTCATCAGAATGCTGTAACTATGCAGGGTGAGGCCACATGCAGGCTTCCAGAGTAGAATGTACCAAAATCGCGTGACAAGACTTTATATACAGACAGTTGTTTGGAAAGTTAAAGGTCTGTATCTTTCACTTTGAAGGTTCCCTATGAAAACTTGACCAGGTGTTCCTGAAATCTGGGAAGTAGTTTGGAGACTGAAACTTTCAGCCGTTATTAAAATGCTTTGGAAACACTGAACCTGGAACTACGGTGGCATGTACATGTACATGTCTGTAACCAGCCAGTGATGCATGTGAAAAAGCCGAGGTGTGCACAAGCATTTTCACAATCAAAACTCCATAAAGAAATTGGATAATGTTGTCGGTTTCATTTTGGCCTTTAAGTACACAGATGGGGCATAGTACATATCGTGTTATTTACCTCATCCTATGTTACTGTATTCACAGACTAAATATTGATGTACTTTCCGAGAAAGTACAACTGTTGTCTTTTATAAAGACACCCCCATTGATAGCTGTATCTGCCAGTATAGTCTTAAGCTATTTTATTGTAAATTCTGTAGACTTCATAGTCTTTGCATGTTGCCTAGTAATCTCATAGTGAGGTTACCAGCCATTTGACCCCAGGCTACCAGTCATTTGACCCTAGACCATTGTGTCAACCTTAGGTTCTGTTCCTGTTTTCTATGATTCATATAGTTTCTTCAAATGCTTAGTTGCCTGTATAGCAGAACTGCTTGTTTATCACATTTTAGCCAAGTTTTATAGCCTTCCATAATTTTTCACCATCGTGTAGTAGGGAAGGTATACTTTACGTTGCGTCATAGTGCCAAAACATGAACAAGTATAAATCAAAACTACTAACAGAACTCGGTCAGAAAGAATGTCCTCCAATCATGAATTTTATTCTAAAGCCATTCTTGTAACTATTTGGAAACCTTTTTAACTTTTTTGAAAACTTATTTGATATTTTTAGACTTGATTTCATTGCCTCCACAGGAGATTGAAACTGCATTTATTTTTGAGAAAATTTGTGAAAATCAAAGAAATATATTTCCACACGGAGAAATGTATGACACATCTATTCCATTCTGCTTATGAAAAATTCCATTGTTGACCGTCATTCTGTATATTAATAATTACTTATGTATAGACTTATAAATAGCCACTAGTAGAGAAAAATATGAATATATGGCAGAGGATTTAAAAATACAACTTAGCAGCTTTGTAAAATTTTGCCTCCAGAAGAACATTATTAAAACTGAAACTGTGAAAAAAAGTGAAAAGCTTGATCGAAACACCGTGCAATTATGAATTCTGCGTCCAAGAACAGAGATAAAAAATTAACCATTTTGATAACTTCCTGAATCATTATTTTGCGTCAAATGTCTCCACACGAATTGATTTCAGGCGCCAGAATTCAAAGATCCTCATGCAAACATGCACATGTAGGTGGAGAGAACATTAAACGTTGCATTGATAGACTATGAGGACACTGGAAGCAGATGTTAAACTTCACACTAGTCTGTCCATTACTACCTGGTAGACAGCATGGTTGATGTGAAGATCTGCTGGAGAATCTGTGGTATATCCTTGGTATCCAGACACACAAAGCCCCTGCCTGCTGGAAGACTGCGAACAAGTCTATTTGTCCAAGGAACAAAGAAACACTATTAGCAACCATAATTTTGACTGGAAAGCAGCACTTAAAATGGTGTTTTTAAAAAAGCTCTGATTAAGAGCTAATGCAAATTGCAAAGGGCAAGGTCTTAACAAGCTCAAATATTCCTGTGGATTTCGGAAGTGGAAGTTCACTTGTGCTCGATACTTGTACAATCCTGTTTCAGTTTTGGCACATCAGAGGTTACTTTGCAACCTTTTCCTTTCAGTGCAGTCCTAAAGGCTCACTTTCCCATAGGGTTACACATGTGCCTCTCCGTATGTGAAACAACACCATATTAGGCAATCCTGACATGCTAGCCTGTCATCCGTACACTTTGATAACCCCACAATTTACAAAGTCGCACAAGATATTGCAAAGACACTCACATGTCGGCCTGGTTGCCAAGGGAGCCGATGAATAAAGCGTAAGCATTGACTTGGTCGTCCGCAGTCAGCGTACGCCCAAAGAGAGCGGGGCTGATGCCGTAACGATCCAGGTTGGCATCACTGAGAACAATCACAAAATACTCGTCGCCCTCTTCCTTGGTGATGGCTTCGATGGCATGCTTGGTCGCTTCCAAAGTGTTGTCTCCGCTCATGCAGAACTGGGCATGTGCATTCATGGTCTGTTGGGCGGAGCAGTTTCTTGAAAGATTTCAGAGGTATTTGAGCTTTCACCCTTAACACATAATATGAGAAACTTATTTCTAAAAGAATCAGCTAATCCACTGTGCCTACCTTGATAACATCCAATCGTTCCTTGTTGTTTGATGGAATCTTCTTGCTCAAAACAAATGGAATTTCATAGTCGTCCCCTGAATGCCCATAGATTTCATACTGCACAAAAGGAAAATACAAGGAAAATTCTGTTGATGGTCACACAGCAGTCACCATCCCTTTCCAGAAAAGTTGTTTGCCGGGATTTATGGCACAAACTTACGGCAAATTTCTGTTCGTAGCCTTCAAAGGCCTCCATGAGCATGAGGGCACTCTCCATGACTCTCTCCAGGCGTCCGTCATAGCCATTGAATCGATACATGCTGCCGCTGACGTCCACAATCAGTCGCAGCCTTTTCGGTTTCACTTGAGGGCTGCCCAGCTGAAATATGGCACAGAAGAGCTTAGTATGAAGCTGTGTCCATAGCAAAGCTACGATTCACCGAGAATGCATTAACCCTCTACTGAAACAATTTGCCAAAATGAAGGGTTGCCGACCAAAAAAGTCTAAAATTTTTCACTTTCTTCAGCTCTTTTTTTACCTCTGGATCTTGTTCCCCACGTCTCTTGTAGATGGCCCTCTCACCAGTCAAGCCTTCAATCAATTTAGCCTCGTCAAGGTCCCCGGCCGTCTGATGTTTCATCCACTGTCTCTCCTTACCCTTGGCCTATTGGAGAAAAGAAAAAGACTTAATCACATCAACACTCGTTTGATGACAAAAACCAAAACTGTGTCAACTTGTTCTTCTAAATTTGCAGAATGGTTTGGATTGCCTCTTGGCTTACTTGTAAGCTGTCCAGGATGACACGCAGTGAAGTGACCTGACGTCTGACACCAGCTGAGAAACGCTCGTACATTTCGGCATCAAACTCTGACATCTGGATCTCCTTGAGGCGATCCCTGAAGGCCTTCTGAGCCATTTCCCGAGCAGCAACGAGAACCTGGGGAGGGGGGCAGGAGGATGCAGACAGCAGCAAGAGGGGGGCAGGAGGATGCAGACAGCAGCAAGAGGGGGGCAGGAGGATGCAGACAGCAGTAAGAGTTGAGTAACTAATAAAAAGTCTGTCCTAAAAGGTATATTTATATTTTCTAACATTTTTATGACTGAGATTTGGAAGAAAGAAAACCTACCTCAGGTGGTACCATGTCTTTCTGTACCTGCGGTACCTGGGTCACGTCATGGCCTGCATCCAGCCTGTATGGCCCACCAGCCCCACCCAAACCAGCCGTGCCAACTCCACCTAGGCAGCAAAGGAGGCACATAAAATTAATAAATGCAACAAATCATCTACAATATAACACCCTGTCGTAAAACCGACGTAAAGGCTCAAAACTCTTTCTTCACAGGTCCAAACTTTTGACTTCCCCAGAAACAGGGTACATTTCATAAAGTTTAACTCTCGTTCCTGATTGTTTCTTCTTACCAACACCACCTGCCCAAGTGCCTCCACCGACATGCGGCTGATTTCTGGGGTCAATTTTGCCATGTTTGGGTGTAATGTTCTGCAAATCTTGGGTTGTTTCCTTTTCAGTAGTTATCTGAATAACATCAGACGAAAAATATGAAAAGTAACTTTTTTGAAACATTCTTTCAGTTATTCAACAACAAAACTAAAAACAGAATACACAACATAAAATGAGCTTTTCTGATATTAAACTGTTCATCAGCAGTCAATAACATCAAGGATTCAAGGAGCAGTACTGTCAAGTAATTCCAGATTTTTTTGATAAGTCGCATACTTGCAAATGGTGGCCATCTTCCCTCCCGATAAGCTGGTACCACTCATCCAGTGACTTGCCCAACTGGTACGAACCGGTCTCCCACACCCTCACTGTCCCACTGGTGTCCACGGTAACAACATGGCTGCCTCCACTGGGTGCCATGATGACCTTCTGGGAGGAAGTCGAGGCCCAGGGCATATAGCCCTGAACAGAGAAAGTGGGGCTGCAAAATGCAAAGAATTAATTTAAAATTACTCGTTCTCGGTATAAATCACCTGTGAACTCCAACCGTTCTTTTTCAAACTCATTATCATCTTAAAACGTACGACATGCAATTAGCCTTACAAGCAAGATGTCTTTCTCATGGAAAGAACAGAAAAGATAGAAAACTAACTTCAAGAACCGATCATAATGACAACAGACAGGAGATCCCATGCACAAAGTGATGCCGGTGGGATTTCAACCGGAGAATTAAGAGATAACAGCTAGGAAATTGGAAGCATACTGTCTGCAGCATGCTTCATGCCAACTTACCTTGGGACTGGAATATACTTGACTTTATGCTGGGCTAGATCGGCCACTTCAATGTATGCTGCAACATTGGCAGGGGCCTTACCTAAGCAAGATGTACCAAAAGAAATAGAAAGTTCTTCAAGAATGTAAAAAGTTTTGATTTAAAATGTGTCATATATTGACAGGACACTGCATCCTGGTTGCTAATGGGATCGGATCCTTGTAAAGTGAACTTCTGCAGGTTGACTTCCAGGACCCAGACCAAGATGGCCTCCATATACCAAACACTTATTGCCCTAATTTCTGTGCAAAGTAATTTATTCCACTGGCCCCTTACCCTCAGGAAAAACCTCCGCTGGAGTCTCCTGTGGTGGAACAATCCTTGCCACTTGGCTGACTTCTGGTAGGAGACCAGCTGGACCTGGGGCTTCGGCCTCGACCTTTGACCTGCCAACTTTCATGGCAGCCAGGAAGGTGTCGCCTTTAGTGTGGAAGGACTCCTTCTCAACTGGTGTTGGGCCTCGTGGTATGGTGTATATATCAATGGTTGACTGCAGATAGAAAAAGTTGAAAGAATCCCCGTTCAAATTCAATTCCAGCTTGCAAAATAATGCCGATGTCTATTCACGTTCCTATTTTGATATTTTTTGCTGCTAGATTCAAACCTCTACATGGCAAGTCACATTCCTGCTTCTGCTAACCAAGTTGACTCACCATTAATTCTGGAAATCCGACTGCCACGGCTCCATAGTTGCTCTTGTCAGCCAAAATCCTGTTTGGCGAGTCAATGGTTTGACCCACGGCAGCCGAGAGGTCACTAGAGGTCAACCCTTCACTGGAAATCACCAATGTGGGGTCACTCGAGCTGAATACATCTGCATCAGAAACTGTCAGGGGAAACATTAAAAAGAAAGATGTTGAACAAGGAAAAACAGAAACAGAAATACTGAAATGTGACAATAGGAGAAGAGTACACATTTCCTGAGACTTTTGATCAGTTCCATTTTGGTTGGTGTGGTACCTGCACTTGATGGCTGGGTCTCAAATATGGTACTGAGCTGGTTGACTGGGGAGCCTGGGTCCGGTCTGCTGAGGAGATATTTTCTGATTGGTAGAAAAAAGATTGAATTCATCAAGAGGCACACAGTAGGCCATGTCTATGGGCGTGCACGCTCTCAAATATCTTCCTTGCTTAAGTTTTTGACAGTCCTCAATACCAACCAAGGCAACATTATTGATATTAGGACAGTGAAAGGTAATTTAAGCCACAGGTTTTGGCTGTGACTGTGGCTAGCAATAACATTCACAGCAATGGAACCCAGTCAATGGTCTGGTGCCTAACCTACCTTTGGGTCTTTGCCTCTGTGAGCAGCCAGTTGTCGGCCGATGGCATGAACATGGTTTCCAAATGAAACGGCAGCTGCAAGCTGTGGGCTTTGCCATTCAGTAAATCCACAACGTCTAAGCGGTCACTGCATTCCGATACACAGAAATATTACTACAATGGGTGTGGTGTGAATGTTGGCATTGCTAGGGCTGTATCTGAGTCTCTTGTCTAGAGCTAGGTCTAGCTCTTGGCTCCATTGAAATTACATGGAGATGCATGCAGAAAATAGACCTAGCCGTAGCTCTAGAAGCCCGTTTCCGACACGGTCTAAGTATAGACGAGAAATGATGGCAAATGCCTCTGTAAAGCTGGGGTCAATTTGACTGATAAGCCAAGCTAAAGAAATGCACAAATCTTTAACTTATTATCAGTAGATCTACAAGTTTGATTTGGTTTCTTTGACCATGGAATCGAAGTGATGAAGATTCTTCAATTCACTGACCCTTCTCCTTGGTAGAACACCACCACGTTCTTGTCAGCCTGGTCGCTGCACATCCTGTGACTTTTTCCCTCACTGCTGCTGCCAAGACGACGCCCGATGACATCCTTGGCTGTTTCCAGGGGCGAAGTCAGGAAGAGGCGCGAGGTGACTCCATTGCTTGTGTCGATGAGAAGAATGTTGTTATTCTGGGTGTGAGCAACAGAAAAGTGAAAACTATAAAAAAAAGAAAGAAACTGTTCAAAGGTAATGCGAACACTCGTGAAAAAAATGACAAAACAAATTGGTGAGAACATAATCATTAAAAGGACCAAACCATTCATAAACGAACAAGAGTATGATGCAGTTTGGCTCCAAAACTGGTGCATATTAGCGAAATGCCCATATGTATTGCACTGGGGGTGTAACTCTACCGTGGTCCATAAGTGAGTGCTCTTTGAGTTTGGAGAAACAAGCTTTCAGTCAGACTTACAAGCTGTTCGTGAAGCACAACGTGTCCGCCCAACTGTTCCCCAAGACCTGTGATAGCGATGGGCTTTGGGCCAAGTCCAGGGAAGATGTCATACAAGTCCAGGTAGCGGATGGTCTTGCCATGAGGCTTCATGGAGTACAGGCAGATGGGGTTAGAGGTCAGGACGTGAACTGTGCCAGCAGTGGAGTCTGGCAGAGTGACAGATCAAAAAATGAAAAGGTTGAGAAAGTTGAAAGTTGACAAGGCTTTGTCACAGCTCACATGAGCTAGATTTTCAGTGTTGAAGTAAAGACCTTTCAGGATCGTCACAACACCAACACAAGACCTCCAGCCTGAATTAAAGTCACCCGCTATTCAAATGAATTTCAACAAAAGCATTGCTTTAATGTCCACCTTGTCACTTATGATGGGTCTTGTGAATGGTCTCGTGTTTGGTCTTGCAGTGGTCAGATCTTGTGATGGTCTTTACTACAACACTGGTACATGTATTTTACACTTGGTGTCCATTTGTTCCTGTGTGGGTTGGACACAGATTCATTGCTGTAAAATGCCTTGCTGAGGGACACAAGCCAAACTGGCCTCCTCCTTGCTTGCTCAGGACCTACAATCTGACAACTTGAATAGCCACATATCCACAAGAGTTGTGACCATTATCTCACTTACATTTAGAGGCAATCACATCACACACCCTGTTCGTTTCACCCAGTGGTATTTGCCATGATGCAACCAGCTCTGAGAAGCTCAGTGACCTGGCCTCTAGTCTCTCCAAGGGGAACTCACGAACACCAAGATGCACTGGACCCTAAAAAAAGGGAATATATGATGCCCATTATGGCAGATTTCAGGTTAATTCTTTTATATATCCGCATTAATCTAAACAAATAAAGTTGACGAGCCAATTTTTAGAGTTATCAAGTCAAATATTGACAGTTGTTTGGCAGAGTTTCAAATGAATCGAGTACATTTTGAAGTTGCCATGATGATTATCAAATGAAAATTTTAAGCAAGTTGAAGTTTGTCAGGAATTTTATGGATTTCACAAACTAGTTTTCATTTGTTGACAAGTAAAGACTACTCACTGCATCAGCACTTTGCTCGACAAAATAAACTTGAAAAAAAAAAGATCCTGAAATTGATTGCGTTCAGTATTCCTTGGCAATATCAAGATACATCAGTTAATTTTTCTTCCGTGAGGCCTGAGTTTAAATCAGTAATCCAGGAAAGAACTGGATTAAAATCCTTCACCCATCATGCCCTACCTTGACCCTCAATTTCCTTTCTTCAATAGGACACAGCATCTTGCGACGACTCGACCCCTGACTTCCAAAGTGCCACTGACTTGCCAGTTGGGCAGCGGGCAGTGGAAACCTGATTGAAAACATTGTTCATACTCACTTGGATTCCTCATCTGAATACTACAATTCTACTGAGTTTCAGAGAGCAAATGGGACCCAATCTCATGGCTCTGGTAGGCACAGAATTCCATACTTTCAATCAGCATTCTATGTTTGCTACAATAGCAGAGACTTTTGTGCTTGTCAAGTAACTTGAAGTAAGCACTCAAGTCCTAGTTAATAACAGGTTTTATGGAAGTATGTGGCCTAAGTTATCGGCTTTCCTCGTCCAGGAAATAGGCTGACCTTCAGCAATTGAATTAAACCTGCTATGGTTTAGTGAAGATTCTTTGCTTGAGGTGAGAATAGGCATGAAATTGGATCCAAAACTGGCAAGAAGGCATCGTCATTATTACTATCATCAATTATCGTAACGGTGCTGGGTCAATACAGAAGCATGTGGAATGTTCTACAACGAAAATTAGTGCATTGAGTTAGCAACATTTTGGCTTAAAACACTGAAATCCTTCAAATGACCCCTGATCTCAGGGCAACATTGTACTCTTGGAAAGGGTTCAATCTCCACACCAACCTTTTCATATTTTAGGGGAAAAAGGACACCGAATCAAGATAAGAAAGGCAAATGACAAATGTTTTTTGCTCCAATTCTCATATATTTATTTCATGACCGTCTCCAAGAGTACAACTCCTCCTGTATGATATTTAAATTTCAGAATTACGACCGTAAGTTTAATTAATTGCATTGACAGCAATTTGTTTTTCATCAGATTCATCCCATCAACCCTCACAATTACACAAATAATACAATGACTACATCTGAAAACAAAACACACTAAAAATCGATTATAAATCCTTACAGTTCCTGGTAGGCTTAGAATCTTGAAAGGACTTTCACAATTTCCTGATTTAAAAATTTCTTTCGCTAAGTTTCTATACCTTATGAACTGACTTAACAACATGTTGCATAGCATCACGACGATTAAATTGTATCAATAAATATGTTCTTCACTCAATCATGCTGGCATAAAGCCGAAGGTAGTCTGCGAAGAAAAGGGCTGGCTTAAAAAACTTCCGCTCTAAATCAACAGTAAAAGAGTTGAACCTTCAGACTGTCCTTGAAAGAATAATCTTGTCACGATGTTCAACATCTACAAGTCTGTGGGAAATGTAGAACTTTAGCAATAATGCACTAAAGCTCCTCCAAAACAAAAACTGAAAATGGGTACTTCATCTGACAAAGAGCCTCATCTTTTACCCTGATTCTCCATTGCCAGCACCTAGGTAGGCCTTCTTCTGTGCACCTAAGCCCATGCACCTAGGCCTTACTCTATCCAACAAGGCCTAGGTGCAAAGAGCAGTAGTTACACCTGAGCCCTTAACACGTTGTACCTAGCCTTGCACCTAGACATTAACCCATCAAACAAGAGCCTTGTTCCTAGACTCCCACTCTTTGCACCTGCACTCTCATGCTTTGCACCTAGGCCTACCTATAAAGCCATTACTCTTTGCACCTAGGCCCTTACTCTTTAGCCAGCTGTACGTTGCTTGGGTCAGCTCCCACAGGGATTCCATGCTTGTGCAGGGCCTGGATCACCTGCTCCCTCATCTCCTTGTTGTAGGCATCAAAGTCAAAGACGTTATTGACTACGCTGGCTAGGCCTTCCTGGGGAAATTTCTGGAAAGGGGTGGATTGAACGAAGACTATTTTATTTCCGCCAGTTTCCTTAAACTAGCAGTACGCCACTAAAAAGCCTAGGTTTAAGTGGTAAGTAAACTTTGCAAGGCTTACTTAAAAAATGATGGTTGACAAATTTTCTTGCTCAGTGAAAATCAGCCATGAACCATTAACAATCAATAAATATTACAAGGTTTATTCCCTGGTGGCCTGTTTCTGCCAAGCACCAATTTCCTAAGCTCAGTAAATTTCTTCACCTGCTGAGCTCATTTCTACTAGGGTTCCCACAGAAATCTAACAAAAAAATCTTATGATTTTTCCAGGACTTTCCAGCAGGAAAACTGTTCTACGAGATGCTAACCTGGAGATGCTTGACCATGTTGACCACCTCCCTGGTGGAGTAGGGATATGTGATGAGCCCCTGGTCGGCCATCTCACGCAGCTCACTGAAGGCTGACACTAGCTTGCGCAGCATGGGCTCGGGGACGTCCGGCCCATAGCGTCGCAGCATGGTCATCTCCGACTCCACGCTTGGGTTGTCCACAGCATGGCAGCTGAATATATCACCTGTGAGGTGGGAGGCAATGTTTGGAGAAAATTAAGATGAACTAATTCATTTCACAGAGCTGTCCAACTTATGTACCGGTTTCTGAACGCTTATCAGCATGGGCAGAATGCTACTCAAAGGCAGAGCCGATCTATTTTTTCACCTCAAGGTCCTCATATATTTTGTATCTTATTGCTAGATTAAATAATATTTTCATGCAATCTACTAACAGTCGAACCTCATTAATAAGAGGTCCTTCAGACTTGGCAGATGACCTTGTTATAACAGGAACCTTATATTACCAGGAATGAAAACAATAAAAAACAAAGGATTGGGACGTAACAAATTCAAGCTCTCATTAACGAGGTTCGACTGAAAAGTATTCCCACATTTTGCAACTTGTGTACAGGATTTACTCATCACACAAAGAATCCACTTCTTGTCTCAGAAAGAGTTCTTTTGACAAAAATTCACACACTGTGGGAAGCCTCGACAAGATTTGCCCAGTTCAATTCCCTCCCCCCCCAGCCTTGTATCTTGGCCAATTCTTGTGAGAGGGAGAAAAAAATACTCACCTAGAGCTCCAAAAAAGTCATTTCCCAGGAAGGGAAAGCCGGGCCGGTTGGCCAGCACAATCATCCTGAAGTCAGGATGGGTGACGATGGTGTTGTCAGAAGAGGATGCTAGGGCTCCCTCTGCTGTTGAGAAAATTAAATCGGGTTGAGATCAAGCTGTTTTTAGAGACCCATTTCACTGCCAGGACATGTTTCAAGAGTGTGGGGGGCTCAACTTGCTGTAAGCTACACAAACCAGCAGCTATCGTTAATTTGAAAAGCCCTAACAGGTTGCTTATTTCACAAAGTAGAAACTGGTGACCGACGGGTCACCACTGGGCCAATTCCAGCTACGATCTCTTGTCGACTACTCATCAATTTGTCCTAATCTGTACACAAAATATATCCTGGCTACCAAGCAAAATAGGCCAGTGACAGAAAACTTGTTATGATTTAAACATGCTCATTATAGATGACTGTATATTTTTGTCAACTCAGGGTCAGAGATCTTGACGTAGACAGGCACAGAGAGGTTACAGCACCTACCAGCGACAATCTTCCGTCCGTCAGCAAGCACCATCTCCCCACTCTCTACCAGCGACTTCAAGATGCAAGTCACATTGGTGGGAGCCTTGTCAGCTTCATCAATGATCAAGACTTGGCCCTCCTTCACCGCTCGAACCTGGCAATTACAGGGGGTAGGGAAACAGTTCCAAAACTAAGAGAAATGCAGTCATATTTCACTTTGTTCAGCATTTCAAATTACAGCGCCATGCTGGCTGACTCAACAAACTCCAAACCTCCAATTGGTCAGGTAGCCTTTTGCATTTCAGAGTCAACGCACAATTGGGGTAAAGTATCCTGCCTGAGGACAAATGTACTCTGGTACCGGGCTCGGCTCAAATCCAGAGCGGAGAAGCTATGAAATTATCACCAAGTCTGAAACATCTAACCATCTTCTTAGAAATCTAAAAGGCTCTTTCGGCGTCTTTTTTCTGTAATGTCGGGGCTGTGAGGCACTAGAAATGTTCCATATTCTTGGAGACCTGCTTACTTTCAGACCATTGAGGCAACCTTCAAGTTCCACCTCTAATTCCTTACGGGAGACCCGATTTCACTGAGAGACAGAAATAAAGTAAAACTTCCGGTCACTCCACTTACCAATGGTGAATCTTCGTAAATAATGATTCCGTCTTGGACATTTGGCTGCAGGGTCAAGGACTGTACCGTTGTATCTCTGGAAAAGGATGAAAGACATTCAGATGTAAAAACTGAGAGTCCAGTTACAGAACACTGACAGTTCTTGTGTCTTTGGAGTAGTTGCAAAAATCCACACAACGTAGGAATGGCTGTATTGGTACCCACCTATGCAGTTGGATGTACTGCCGTGGTTTATTGAGCAGGTGCAGGAAACGATCCACAATCTTGTTCTTGCCAACGCCTTGGTTACCGACTAGCAACAGATGCTCTCCCAGGATAAAGTCTTTCAGCATGGCTTCCATGACGTTCAGATGCTGTGGCACAAAAATATGGTTTTAAAAGAAGATTCAGTTATTTAAATCCACTAAGTCGTGAACTTCGTAGCTTACAAGTTATTGTGAGTTACAGACAGGTGGAACAATGCATTTGGAAGTTTTTATTTCGGCGTTTCTTCACTGGTAACCAATTGCATACCTGTACATTGTCATAAAACAAGGTGTCGGGTACCATCATCATGTTGTCGGGGTTGAAGACTGCCATCTCCGTGTCACCGATTCGTAGTTTACCGTTCTTGACCTCGCCTGCATATCAAAGAGTGTCAAAGGTCAAAGTTGAAGGTCAACACAGCAACATCCTATCTGCATATGTACAATAACAAATGGAGGTTTCAAAGAACACAACTTTAAAAAATTAATAAATAAAATAAAATAGAGTAAAATTGGGAGCAATGATCAAAAATGATCAATTCCAAGCAAGACCAGTGTTCTCAAATTCTTACAGGACAGAGCGCGCTCGATGTCCACATCTTCAGTCGTTAGTTGGGGTTCTATGCCGTTATCCTTCAGAGCCTTGTCTAAAGCTTGCCGAGCAAGCGTTGGTAGAAATCTAGACGGAAACGATGAAAACTATTCACAGTGGGGGTAATTGCAAAAGCACAGAATCCGGTAACAGTTTCACATGAGAAATGACTAACATCTTCAATTTCACAATTACATTAGATATTTTTTTTTTAATTTACAATTGAAATTTAAAAAAAAGAAGTACTACAATTTGGGTAGACTGGACAAAGTGTTTTGGGGCGACTTCTACACACTATTCCTGTAAATCTGAAGCTGGTATTCATCAATCAATGTGGATTAAATAACTCTATGAAAACGCCCCAACGCTGGAAATCTTCCATGAGGATCGCTATGGGCCTTGTTTGCCAGGTTACTCACCTGGATAAACAAGCCTTGTTGATGGCCTCATGTAAGCCTTCATCAGGGTAACTAGACATTCGTCGAGCAATCCGGAGCAAGTTACGAGTCGAAAGAGAAGAGGATAATGACTGGAGCTAAGGGGGAAAAAAAAAACCAGGAGTATAAATCTTACATTTACCAAGACTTTGCTGTGGCCCCCAAGCAGTGTTAGTTGCATGGAATCTTCTCAGAAAGATTAAGAGTTCAATGACGATGAATCAACTTACTGTTGTGTCTCCGGAGTTCCTCAGCAAGTGCGTCAGCTTCAGCAAAGGTTCCAGCACAGCCACGTTGGTGTTAGGGACCTAGAAACCACAAGCAAATCATTGGCTGCATTTTCTGTCAGTTTCTGGAAGAGGTACTTTTTATCAGATTTTGATGGGAATTATATGAGGCTTTGGGTGTGCATATTTGTATGCAGTGACGCCGTGTACTTATATGGAGATCGTGGAATTCTCACAAGCCAACCAGAGTCTAGTCTTCTGTGTCAAGTTCGGTGTTCGATTCTAAGGTTTATGGTTTGAGCAAACCCCGTGAAAAACAAAACCCTTGTGGTTTCTGGTAGGACTTTTTTGGAATGGTTGTTTCTCTATGATCAGTAATAACTGCAATGGGCATGTTGCCCCTTAGTCTTGGAATAATCTTTGCCTTAGTTCAACAAGCAGCGACAGATTTTTCAACGAGGACATCTTGAGAGTCAGAATATCTTTCTAAATACGGCAAGCTGGAGATGTAAAAATGCTTTTTAGAGGCTAAAACATCATGTTGGTGGTACGTGCACATTTAGGGGACTGTCCCAACATCCTCAAGGCTCATGACCCTGTAAAGTTCAGAGGTCAGCAAAGCTCTGCCTCACCATGCCCCGTATGACGTCCATCTCTTCTGCTAAGGACAGAGGTCGTAGGTCGTGGTACAGGAAGAGGGTCAACAGCTCCGGGTTGAGCCACTGCTGTGTGCTACTGCCAATGACCGGGGGCTCAGCCAAGGCGACGATGCGGAAAGATGGATGGATCGGGAAGATGGACCTAGGACAGAGAGGTGATTCAAGAAGCCGTGATGTAACTTGTTGCGTGCGTGAAAACTGTGTTTGGCTCAATTTCTGAACCTGTCTCAGCCATCGGGATTAGCATCTTAGTGACAAGTGTTCATTCCAACCTCCTCAAGCATTTGAAACTTTCTGCTGAAACCGATGGCCGAGAATCTTCAAATATTTTGCAGAGATTTGTTTTCAATAATTCTTTCCTGGCAAGCCTTTAACAGCAGTATGGCACTTTTACGCATTCTTAAATACCCCACCAATTCATCAACGCAGAAAAAAGCTGTAGTCCTTTTTTTACAAAATCATTCCAAAGTCAAAAACAAATACTTATTAGGAACTTATTACTCAAAGCAAAGTTTCCGGAATGCCACTCACTTTTCCTTCATCTGTGCATCAGTCAGTCCCGACTGGTCTCTGAGCGCCTGGAAACGATCGTTTCTCAGTAGTCTGGTGCCGTCAAACAAGCTGATCTCACGGTCATGGACCAACCTGTTAAATACCACAAACAAGGATGCAACACAGCCATTCATTTGAAATACACCGATCTGTATGTGGTTTAGCTTGCTTAAACCAAAAATCGGGTATCTACTCTAATTTGGAATTTTGAACTTGAGGTAAATGTGAAAGTGTTCCCTACCAGGCATTTCAGTCCCAGGTGAAAGTATTGGTTTTGATGGTTTTTAGGTTCACTGTTACGGCCCATACCTGTGTAACACAGCCAGCGTGCTAGGATTGACCCTGTGCAGACCGTCCAGCACGGCAATACTGCCCTCTAGTGCTGCAGTAATGAGAGGCGCCAGACGCCAGGTTGTGTCCCCGTTGGGTAGCGTCCCTCGCTGCTGCAAGAGGTCACGTGAGGTCATATCCTAAAAACAAACATTCGGAAATAACAAAAATTGTAATTGAAACAGTGCAGTCATATCATTCCACAGAGGCACTCCTGTTACAAGTAAAGGCATTCTGGTAGAGGGTTCATTGAGTTTTAACCTTACCAAAACCTGTCCAAATCCTTCATAACCATCCATTTAATGTATTTAGAAGGAGTTTGTAGGATTGAGGAAGATACAAGCCTACTCCCTTGTAAAGTATGTAGATTTCATGCCCCTTGAAATTTAAAATTCAAAGAATAAGTCACTCTTTCCTGCACACTGGAGAACTTGGGAGGATTCAGGAAGGTTTGTGCAAAATTGATTTGGGGGTTACCAAAATATGAAAGAGAGAACTGTTTCACAAAGTAATGCACGAACAATACTGTTATTGTTTGTCAACCTGGTAAAGCATGACCGGCTCCATCTTGTAGCCCATGATGTCAGCAAACTTCCTGGTCAGAACACTCTTTCCACAGCCCTGAGTAAAAAATAAGGTTGACACATGACAAAACATGAAAGGTTAAGTCTGCCCAAACCTAAAGAACCTGGGAGTTGTTATTCATTTCTGAAGAGGTAGAGTGATTGAATGGAAGGGGGGCAGGTGGGGGTGAGTGGACGGCTCGTGACCAACATTGCCACACTGTGAGAATACCTGGGGCGTCAATTTGGTACAGTGGTAAATGCTTCAGTTTCTATCCGTGACCTGGGTTCGAATCCCACTTTATGCATCGTATGGACTGGCTATCCCAGCTCCTATGTCCTTCTGTGGGATTTGCAAAGAAACCTGGGATTTTTCCTCCCACCTCATGAAGTAACCACCAAATCCCTGTATGAGTTTCTCCAGGCTTGTGAGCTGCAATGCCTTCGGTACTCTGAAGGGAAATCCCACCATTTCACTACAGGAAAGAAGTGACATTAAAATGAACTGTGGGTTCAGAGCCTGTTTGCATCTCACCTTGGGACCAATGATGCAGAAGTCTTGCACGGAGTGAGAGAGAAGCAAGTCTGCAAGGACGCCCTCGTGTGACAGAGTGTTGATAAAGCGTTGGTGCTCGTGGTGGGGCCTAGGTTCTGTGGTACCTGCCGGGACCTGTATAAAAAGGCCACGAAATGTTCAAAATACTTTTCACTTCATCTGATTAAAACAACCAACAAAAAAAATCCAAGAGATAAAAAAACTACTGGCAATCCACATATTCTGTTCCCTTTCCAAAAATGAAATGACCTTCAGAGTACATGTAATGGATTTTTTTCCTTCAAACTCAAGGTTACCTCAACTTGGAAGCTTTCACCCTTGCTTCCTATGGTAGCCACTGCCATGGGCGCATCATTGTGACTGGTCGGTTGGACTGTGACTGCTCTCTGATTGGGCAAATTCCCGTGCTTGTCTTCCAGCAATTCAAATCTCTGTCAACAGGAGGGAGCAGCACATTCAGTCACCCGTCAGTTTATGAAGTTCAAGTACTTTGGGAGAACCAGGACTGAAATGCATGTTGGCAAACAGGGAAGGGACTTCAAACGGTCGGTATTTCTGGAATTTACCTTCAAAGCGTCGAGGACGACAGTTCTGGACTCCTTGGGTAGAAAGACTGCGTGAGGGTACAGCTGATAGAGGAGTTTCTGGGCTGAAATATTGGGCACTGAATTCTACAGAGGAAATATCAAAGTTGGACAAAACTCTACTTGTTAATACACGTGATTCCTCCAGTCATGGAGGTGCACACTAAAGAGAAGAACCTTCTTTCAAAACCTGGGATTCATCTTCCAACATATGAGCCCGGGAGCCTGAACCCTGAAGCCGGAACTAAAAACAAAGCCCTGTTTTGTGAAATCCCTGGTTAATATCATCTTGAACACAAGAGAAAACAAAAAGTCAAGCACTCACCATGATCTGGACGATGCTTGCTAGGTTGTCGATCGGAAAGTCTGGGAGACTGAGAGTGGCCAACTCGGAATGGCGGAGAGCCGTGGCAAAGGACAAAATCTGAGACACTCTAAACACACAAAGCACAAACCAACGAAGAGCAAATAAATTTGTCACTGATTTGGGTAAAAACAACCAAAACGTCTGCGAAACTTAGGCACAAACAAGGCTACATGCTTATAAGGTTCCAAACCAAAGAAAAAACATTTTTTGACTCACTTTTCTGAAGCAAGCCTAGATCCCAGGGCATTCAGAAGTTCCAAGTGATCCTGAAAATCAGAGGAGAAAAGTTTACGAATAATTTAAAATATACTCATAGTTGATGTGATTTAGGGCCTGAATTAGCCATTTTTTATGTTACTTTTTACCTTGAAAGGCAGGGGGTTGATGTCACGAGCCTGAAAACGAGAGCGAAGGGGAGGATCCAAGGGGTTGCCACGGTAACGGGGGACCGGGAGTCCCAGGGCAATGACGCGGAAATCCTCACTGACCCTGATCAGTTTCCAGGCGTCCAACTCCTCCTGAGAATGGTCCTTTGGTAAAAAAAAAAAAGTAATACAGAAAAATTGTGATTACAAAGCAAGTTTGAAAACAAGATCCGACAGCTTCCTTTTTAAAAAATGTAAAACCAAAGATGGCAGATTTCCCCTCAAGTTCACATGACAGGCTTTTCTCTTGTTTTTTTTCCCATTTTTACCGCAGAGCTAAACTCTATCTTTTCCCAAGCAAGAAATAAAATCTCTCAGGAACGGCAATCACTACCACTTTCTGTCTTTGGAATCTCTTCAAAATTAGACATCAAAGGAAGTCAATCTTCCCCCCCCCCCAAAGTTCCCCCCTCCCAAAAAAAGGACAGGTCAGGATGCTGAACACATTTTCTTTTTCTCTTGCCAAATTTAATGCATCATCAGTTCTGGCAACCGATGAATAAAGACGTCAATAAGAACATTTAAAGACTAGTAAGAAAAGAAAACTTGTTACCTTGAGCAGTTTGTCGTATCTGTCTGCTGCCACCAGGAAGTGGCCATCCTCCAGCTGCATCTCCCTGTTCTCCAGGAGGTTGTTCAAGACTGGAAGGACATTCCTCTCGGCCTTCTCCACACCCTCAATAACCAGGATGCGACCACGGGTGGCTGCTCGTACAGCGCACTGCCAAGGCCAACGCAAAAACAAAACAAGAGAATGGAACTCCGCAGTTATTCATTTGAGAACTTGATGAAGTTGTGCCAGGGCTATCGATTTCACACGGTCATTTGACATACCTGATCAATGTAGAAGGCCGTTCCATCCTTGATTTCTCGCCGCTGTTTCAGATCGGACTCGGTCGTGTCTCTCGTGAGGGCTAGGTATTCCACTTCACGTTTTGTCAGTTCCTATGCCAACATCACAAGTTAAGATTCAGCTTCCAACAGAACCTTAAGTCTTTCATTCTCAAAAGACAACATATGCTGGGTCTTAGACGATGCCCACAGCTCTCATTTACAAGTAATTGACAGTGACTTGACACTTTTCATCCTTCAGACTGCATTTTGTGGCACGGCTAGGAAGTCACACACAACAGCCATAACAGGTTTGCTCTGAGAAGGTTTGAGTCAGGGGCAACAGAATACACTCACCAAATACTGCATTGCGATAGCTCTACGCAACGGGCCAGGCGGTCCAATCAAAAACACGTCTTGGCCAAGTGCATCCTGGGAAGACAATAACCATCACCGTTCATGCCAATCAAAACATATCAAAATAGGGACATCTATAGGAAAACCACTGAAAACATCTCCAGCAAGTATTAGAAGGAGAAGTATCATTTGAAAATGAACTAAAGAGAGAAAAATATGGAAAAAACATTACTACGCCCTCTGACAGAAGCACGCCCCTCCCCCATCCCCACCCCCTTTTTTCAGCCGTACCTTCTGCATTATCCATCGCAGATGCCGAATCACAGACTGGGGCAGGTTGTCAGACACTACAAAGGACAAACCAATGCACAGTTGTTGATAGTCAGTGCCAATGGAAACAATAACCTCAACAAAAAGAAATACCAAACGAGGTATTTTTTTAAGCTATAAACTGAACAGAAAATTCATCTGAACTGGAACTACCCACCTTTAAGTTTAACTTTACATTCACCAATGGTCCTGGGACAACCTTACAATACATTCATCCTATGACGTCAATCTTCACTCAATCTCAGTTCAGACTCAAATTTTCTGGTGTCACATATTTCTTCCCATCTCATTTTCCAAACCTTGGCCTTGAATGCGAGAGCATAAATCAGTTTTAAACCCTGCAAAAGATGGTTACAAGGGTAAAACCCCACTGTAACTCACAGTGTTTGATGGGGACCAGTTCAGGGTTAGCTGGTGTCTTCAAAGTCCGACTCACATCACCAATGGAAACTCTGCCATCTACAATTCAAAGGAATCCATTTATTATGATTAAGAGCAATTTTTGAATTTAAATCTCACACCTGTAGAAGTTATATTTTTGTAGCAATTATGTTTTTAAAACAATTCTGGATTTGACTTAATGTTTTACGGTTTGAATTATGCATATTACATTCAAATCTCAATATACATGTACCAGTATATTATTACTTGTAATCTCACCATGAAAAAAGCAACTGCTTCTTTTAAATTATTGTTCTATATAAGACCCCAATAAACCTGTTCGGCGTTCACAATGCATTATGGGTTTGAATGAAAAACAAGCAATGTATTTTATGCAGAACCCTATGGAAAAAGTGTACCTGCAAAACGTGTTATCTGTTTCCATTTTATTACATAAGGGTCTTTTCCTACAATATCAACCAGACAAAATGACATTTCTAGGATTTATCAAGTCAAATTAATTTGTTGATCAAGTAAGTTCAATTACTCCTACTTCTAAATAAACGACAGCCTAGATAGTATTCCAGATGTATCAATACATGGCTCAACTGACTAATTCCTAAGTAGGCCTAGGCCTACATGCTGAACCTTTCACTTGGTTTGGATATGGTGTAAACTGACCAACTCACCTGACGAGTAGCTGGCGCAGAGAAGGGGCGAGATTCTAGCAGTCCCACCGGACGGCGATGAGGCCAACACGCCGCCAAGATGCCGCAAGCGACGGAGTGATTTCTCCGCGCTCATACTGGCAATTCTGAGGCCCAGCATGAATCCTGAAGTCTTTCCGGTGTCACCTATGACACAGTTTTACCATATCTGTATTTTATGTTTGCATTGAAAAGTGCGTTATCACAAAAAATACAGTTGAAACCGACATGCACTTCAACCCGTACAGTACCGTTTCAGCAGGGTTATGTGATGGCCCGTACTCGACTCGTACTCTCATGGTCCACTAATTGCATATACTGCCCTCTTTTGACAAAAAATGCCAATTTAAATCGACTTCACCAATAAAAACTTTTACATGAAATTGAAATACCGCCCTCTGTTGGACTTTTTAACTTAAATACCAGGCAAAATGGCGGCTGTCTTGAAGCATTTCACAAGGCGCAGATTTTGCATCGCCTCAACAAGGCATTTACGGAGATTTTCTTGCGCTCTTGGGCAAAGGCATATGCGACAGCTGTGTACATCTGTAACGGATGACGCTGTAGGGAAAGTAATCACAGATTCAGAACTATGGAATGAGTATAACACAACGAAAGCCTACTGTGAACAATTTGGTAGGGCCTGCTGTGTGAACTTTTCATCTGAATCATGTTTTTATATTTGTTGACGTCTTGAATCAATAGTGCTGTTGGGCGCAATCGATTAATCCGCGCAGTCTTTGAGCAAAATGACTGTTGTATTGCATAATTTGTCAATTTTGCCATCAGCCTATTGTAGCTATCACAAAGCGGAAGGGTTCAGGATAGGCCTAATGACACTTCTGCACGCACGCTAATTTTGCAAATTTCTTTGAGCCACTGTATCAGTATGTCATGGTGTGTCCTACACACCTTACATCATTTTTCGCAAAGTCTTTACAAAATGATGACAAAGTGTTTGAAATTTGTGATTCCAGTCAACATACTTACATCTCGATCAAATATTGATTTGAGATGAGTTTTCTAGGGCACTGATTTTCCTTGGTTGTCTGTTGGCATTGTTTTGAGGCACTGACACAGCATATCAAAGAGGCTTGGTTGGGTCTGTTTGGAACTTCAGTGAACTTCATAATATTTCATCTGGCCTAATTTTACCACTTTTTATCCATGATAATTTTTTTGTACTTGTTTCATATTTGCTTAGCTATAGTCAACAATATTTTTCCCATTGAAAGATATTGTGAATGTGATGTCTTCACTTAGTATTTTTCAGGGAAATCACTGGATCAGTTGGATTTTGTGTATCATCAGTATCCGAGAATTTGCCCTGTTCTAATTCTCATCAACTATTTACTCTAAACATGGCCTGAAATAAATTTATGTCGGTCATTTTCGCTACACAGTCTTTCTATTAACCTGTTGTGTCTGAGGCCTTTGTCAATGATCGTCCTCTTGCAGCCACAAATCACTGCATCAACGTGGAGCCCAAGACCGTCTTTGCCAACAATGAAGTTGACCTGTCAGACATTGAAGTGTATGGTTTTGACTATGACTACACCCTGGCTTGCTACACTGACCACCTACATTACCTCATCTATAACCAGGCAGTTGAAAACCTAGTGGAGAGAAAAATGGTTGGTATGATTCTAAATGCATTCATACTATACTCCTTTGTTGCCTTGTAAACTGCGTATCATTCATAACGTTTTTCTGGTATTTCATTTTCATATGTGTATTGTTGTTTCTCTGTTTTTTTTGGCTCCTCCAGTTTCCCTCAGGAATAGCAAATATGGAGTACTCACCACACTTTGCCATAAGAGGGTTACACTTCGACACCAGAAAGGTAGTCTTTATGACTGCGTCAAGCAGCTTATCAACTTTTGGATGGCTTTTCACAGATGACCAAAATGCTTCCTTTTCACTAAAAGCCAAGTTATGTTGTGTCATTTTAGTTTGAATGATTTGGGGTTCTGAACTTCTTTTTGTCAAATTTTGATATTGATTGCAAGTCAGCTCACTGACTTTTTAGCGAAAATTTCTATTACTTTGGTTTCTTTTGTTGCCTAGGGTTACCTAATGAAGATTGATGCATTTCAACACATCCAGTTGGGGACAGTTTACAGGTAAATTATTGGCGAATTGTACATCATTTTTGAATTCAACAATCCAGGTAATTTTACTGCAAAAAGAACAGAAAACCGCACGATCTCTGCTTCATCTCTGACGATTATTTGATTCTGGTGAATAAAGACATGCAACCCGGGGTCGAAAATAAACCTTTGCCTTGGCACGTCATCTGAAGCGGAACCTCTGACTTGGCTCAAGCGGTCGGCATTTTTATTTGTTGCATATGCCTCTGTTAAACTGAAAGAAAAAAAATGAATGATTTCGGTGGGGCCAAGTTGAAGTGGGGTGATGTGGTGATAGGGCAAAGTGGTTAAGGGTGAAGTGACCGACACCGTTCACCATCGTGTGGTAGTGTAAGAAGCCAAAGTCATAGCTTTGAAATGCCTGATTTGGACATGGCCTGTTCCTCACGTACTAGCAATTGTATGCAATAGTGTTGCAAATGTGATGCATTGTTTTGTTGATCATAGGGGCAAACAGCCAGTCAGCGATGAGGAAGTGAGTGCGAGTTACCGAGGAACTCACATCCCCGAGAGTTTGCTGACACAGGGGCCTATGGTGAGCATTTTCATGACATCCTCCATCTTTTTGCTGTTAGCCACACCCCTGTGTAACACCAGCTGTTGATAAATACTTGCCTATCAAGACCCCATTAGGAATAATTCATCATTTCAACAACAGCTCAAAGCCAACTTTTCTTTGAGATACCTTTCTGTCTTGCAAATTTGCTAACCCCAATCTGCCTTTTTTTATTGCAGAGTCACCCAATCAAACAGCTGATGGATCTTTTTGCAATACCAGAGATGGCCCTGCTGGCCAACGTAGCCGAGGTGAGTCAACACCAGGGGGCGCTCTTCCTTCACCCCCTCCACCCCTATCTAGATCAGCGGAGTCAAGCTATTATCCTGTGATAACCATAAGACAAACTTTGTGCCTTTGCAACCTTGTTGGAGTTGGGCATGTGATCGCCGATTGTCGCGGACACAATGTTGTCCAAGAAGGAAGTTGAAGATTTTGTTGATTTATTTCTTGTTGATGCAAGGTCTTAAATGTAAACTGAATTGTCTTTGTAACAATCATGCGGCAAGGCACTTTGAATAATGTACTCCATAATTCTAATTTTTTTCTCTCGGCAGTTTTTGACAGAAAACGAGATAGATTATGATCCGGAGTACCTATTCACGGATATTCACGTAAGTAAATGATCATATCTACTGTTGAGTGCAAAGCTTTTCCATTGCTGTTAGGTAACTGGTTGGCAGGTATTTTTGTCGGAGTGACTGAGAATTAAATATTCACTTGAGTATGTATCATGACGTCTGTTGTCTACATTTCATTGATTACGTTCAGACATTTTTTGAAGCAAAAATTACAGCCCAACCCCATTTCTGTACTTACCAATTGTAGAATGCCGTCAAAGAGGTCCACACCTCAGGAATTATGCACAAAAAAGTCGTCGGGAACGTTGGTGAGTAGCACACTTATAAAGATATATTTTAATCGAACCCTGCGTTTGCTCCAGATTAAAAGATTCACCCCGCAGTCCTGGTTGTGACTTGCATGAAACAGTGAAAATGCTCTTTGTGTTATTAAAAAATTAGGGAAATTGTATTGTTAAAAATGTTAGTAAAGGCCAATTACGCGATCATGAATTTGATTAAATGAGATACCTTTTAAAGCATTTCTCAATTGATAATTTCTGTTTAACACAGAATATTTCAAAATTGTTCCATTTCAGGAAAGTATTTGGAGACGGGGACCGGAATTCCAGAGTACATCAAGACATTACACGATGCAGGAAAGCAGCTCTTTCTGATGACAAACAGCCAGTTCAACTTTGTGTAAGTTGACCAGTTCTCGCTGGAGCTTTTGAGAATCTGCATCCCTCAAGTAACCTGTAAGCCTTTTTTCCCTGACCTTGTGGCTGCTCACCTGGTTAAAGCAAAGTGGCTCCAAAACATTGCTCACATTTTTGGATCTCATCATATTGGTTAGGCTTGCATCAAGTCAGTAGCGATTCCAGTGAAGTTTAAGAAATGACAGGAATGAGCTGAAATTGACAGTCTTGATTTTTTCCCATCACCCACCCACAGAGATGAAGGCATGAAGTTCTTACTAGGTCCCGACTGGATCGATCTGTTTGATGTTATCATCACGCAAGCACGGAAGCCTCTCTTCTTCCATGACACGACAAGGTAACCTGTCCCAACTTGTTTGACTGTCACAACCGAGCATACGCACACTTAGTTGAGAGCAGACCTTTTATTCTTTAATGCGTTTTCTTGTTTGAAACAATCGTATCCACAACACAGACTTACTTTACCTCAAGATATCCTTGCTGGCTTTCTTTTTAGCTGCTAACGAGTAAATTAATTTGAAAAAGCATCTGCTTTCTAGAGATGCAGATTTCAAAGAGCTTTTCCGCCTCCAAATTGTTACTGTCTCTTCCCAACCATGGCAGACCTTTTCGCTTCATCTACCGAAAGACTGGCATGCCGTCATGGGCCCGTGTCACTAAATTGAGGAAAGGCAAAATCTACCTTCAGGTGAGGATACATGGAGTGCGAGGGTGGGGTCAGCAGAAATCTGCTACAGCGCCCTCTGGGGAGACTGGTGTGTCAGAAAATGTCAGAGTGGGATAATTTGTTAGCATTGCTTGTGGATAAATATTCTTTCTTTTGAAGAAGTTGAGGACTCCATTTGGTTCCAATAGCTTAAGAGGGGAGGCTCTACCCCTGTGAGAGAAAAGCTTCCAAAGCTTCGATTGTATTGACATTTTATCTTCAGATTCTGCTATGCCAATTATTTGTGGAGCTTGCCTGCAACAGAAATTTGGGCATTCAGCCCCTCATATGGATTTCTTCTGAAGCCCTTGAGTTATCAAAATATTGACATCTTTGTGGGTAGGCCGTGTTAGTTTCTAAAAATGGCAAAACTTATGTCTGTGAGCAGCTTACCAAGGGGCGTACAATTCCACCTTTTGTGAGCCAAAAAACTCGAAGTTAGTTAGTAGCCCACTTTGACTTCAAGCAACACGTCCACGTGGAAGAATATCGCATCACGATTACAATAAAATCATGGCATTGGCTTAACTGAATCCAATTTCTCTGTCTGCAGGGAAATATGGAACAGTTTAAAGAATTAACTCAGTGGGATCCGTCCACGGTACTGTATTTCGGCGACCACGTCTACAGTGACCTCGTTGACCCTTGTCTGAAGAATGGATGGAGGACGGGGGGTGTCATCCCTGAACTTGACGTGAGTAAATCTGTCTCAAGTTTTGGTAGCTGTAGTTTGAAATTTAGTACAGATTAGTTGTGTGTGTGGGTTCAAAGGATGGCTTGCTTTACGTGGTCATGATGTTCCATACATGCCGCACACACCTACAGGTTGGCATATGTTTGGGAGCTTATACTACCAATTTCTGTTTGAACGTTTTGTACATTTTTTGAGTAGCCGCTGAGGTCGAATTGAAGTGAATGGATTTGAAAAACAAAATGAAACTAACAAGGGCTTTTCAATCCTTTTATTCACTGTGACACAGTCTTTCCAAATCCACTGAGAGGTTTTTAAGGATTTTGTAGAATTAAGGAAAGGAGAGCCCAGCCAATAATACTTGACATGAGAGTTGACGCCCCTCTATACTTTACATGAGAGTTGATGCCCCTCTAAAGTGTCAAGTGGAAAGAACGTTCCTTGGTTTCCTGCAGAATGGTGATTTTTTGTGGTTCTGGAATACTTTTAAATGATACACAAAGAGTTACAGTGAAAGTGAGGAAGACTTCTAGCGTTGTCTGTAATTTCCTTGTGCTTTAAAAATCCATGTCCGTGACATGAGGGTTATGCACGTGTTATTTCTATGGTGACGCATAGCCGAACTTTGTCATACAAGTTGGTTCAGTTGATGGATCATTTAAAGAGGTACCAGTAAATTGAAGGGCATTTCTGTCGTGATCTCCATCAAATAGATTAATTCCTTTTGGTCAAACTGATCAACCACCTGCATTTTGTATATCACCTGCCCAGTCCCTCCATGTGGGCCCATATCTTGCATTGATAGAAGTGTACAGAAAGGCAGTTAATATTGTATTGGAGTGGATAAGGGGTGTGCCTTCACATTCAAGTTTGTTCCTCTGCAAATATGACATGCAAGTTAGTCAGAGAGAGCACAGGTAATGAAAGTCTATCGAAATACCAGTCAGGTACTGTGTCATGTTACACCGACCATCCTCGGCAAAAACTGCCTGAAATGGTCGGCCATTTGCATCATAGTTTTAAGGAAGCATTAGAAAACTTATAATTCACATAGCCTTGTGCTAATTTCAGATAAAGATGGATTTGTATTTGTGTTAAACAATTTGATCTCACTCGCAGATATGAAACAGACTGGGTTTCTGAAATCCCTCACAAACAATGCTCTTTCCCCTCATGACGAGATTCCGACACCCACCTCAAAAACTGTGGGTGACAGAATGACGCAGTGTGCAAGGCAAGACGCAGTAGAAGTTGGCGTCAGTAGGCAATCGCTCTGATGAGATTTCCTGTTGTTGGGGCATCTGAATGGGAGGGAAGTGGCCAGTTAGAGAATCAGGGAAGGGGGAAAGCATGACAGGTTAGAGGTCTGAGTCAGCTGGACTGTAGGGAGGAGAGCTGGTCAGCTGATAACGTATGATGTCAGGCCAGGGGTGTTTAACTCCCCCTCAACCCGTTACCCATATACCCACAGGGAACAGACGTTGGAAATGGGTTTAAGGTGGCACCACCAGATTCTTTCTGGCTCCATTTCCCCCTTCCAGCCTCCTTTTTAGCTAGCAATATGCATTTATTTCTTTTTAAATCTAGTCTTTGGAAATGGATGATTATTTTGCCACCCCCAAGAGTGCCCTCCAAACCTTTGGGTTTATCAGCAACAGAAATTACTTCATTACACAAATTTATTCAACATTTGACGAAGTCCTTTGAACAAAAATTGTACAACTGCACCTAATTGGGCCTTCCCCCCAAAAAAATAATAATAAAGTGCCTAACTACAACAAGTATTTAAACGACAAATTTGAAACTGTCAACTGTGTCACATTCTTTAGTCAAAGCAGTCTTGTGTCAATTGAAAGAAACATGTTCGTACATGTGACTTTCAATGTCTGGGTTGCCATTGTGCATAAATTCTAAGTTAAACATTAAATCCTGTCCTTCACTTGCCATGCACCATTCTGTGGCATGCGTGGGACATTTATTGTCTGTGCAATGTTTGGCCAAACTTTGGTAGCTGTTTACTCTGCACTTGAACTGTCGTAACTTTTTTCTGGTCTCTTCCACCTCCCAGTAATAGGCAAGAGTGCTATCTATTTATCTTCAGTGCACAACTGATTAATAGTTTGCATTGTTCCTTAGAAATCACACCACTATAATGTCCCTCCCCTTCCAGCCGAAAGATTTTGGGCAGCAAATGAAATTATGGCATTGGATAACACTGAATCAAATTCAAGGTTTCCAAGTTTCTACTTATAGCTTGGGAAACATTAATTGAATATATAAACTTGATTGTCCAAGTGTTATTTTATCTGTTGACATTTTAAGGACGGAAGCGTTTCCTATCACTTTGTAAAATTTCCCTGAAAACTTATCAGTTTCTAAGTACAGTGTACGTGGAAAGGTGATTGTTGAAGTTGGAAAAATCTTTTCAGATGTGGGAAAATCCAGTTCAAAACATGTTGACCAAACTTCAGCAGAGTGCTAACAATAAATCCATTCCACATGGAATTCACTGTTTCAGGGGTAGTTTTGCTTTCATCCGAACAATGGCGTGATACTCGTGCCCAAGGCATGAGTGATAATGCCAACTGTGTTGAATTTCATTTATTTTCACCAAATCAGGATAATCACTTATGAAAATAAGTGGCCTTGATTACGACAAGTGACTGGTCTCTGGACATGTTTTTATTGCGTTCCTCTATTTTGAGTGTGCCTAATTCATTCTCATTCCTCCAATTTCAACATGATCATTCTCACACGGGGGGGTAGTACTTATATCAATGTGAACCATTTTGAAAAGAACACACTGTGAAGTTTCTGATAACACGTTTGTGAAAATGCTCATTTAGTTCTGTTTTACGAGTGACACAAAGGTAGGAAATCAACAATGTTAGAGAAACAATGATGAACTCCAAGTCAGAGAACTGTACCTGTTTTTATCCGAGGATTAAGTCTTATCATCAGTTATGATGTCTGATAGCAGACACTAATTCCATCATGCCACTCTATTTTAGGATCAAACCAGGAAGAAAGGTTGGACATCGATCACAAATAATCCCTATAGACATTGTAACAATCCGCTAAACATACAATGCAAACTTACAACGATTTAGTAATCAATTTGCAAACAGCATGTTATTGTTAGAGTTATTTCTTTCATTCCAGAGATATTGCAGTAAGCAATAATTGTAAAGCCTTCTTATCTGCCAGGCAATGTCATATGTCTTACAAAGCTATGAAAGAAAAGATGCACAGATTTGTAAAAAAAAAAAACCCATTTGTATAAGTGCGTTTTCAGTTTATCAAGAACTCAGCACCGGCATAACATCATGCAGACTGAGTCAAGTTTCTCTCACTCCAAAACATGGCGCAGTAATTATTGATTTATTTTCCTTTTGCTATTAAGTACACAACCCCTAAATCTCAAGTTTTATTGCTGAGACATTTTTCATGCTTCCATCACCCCTTTCCAAGAAAAGCTCTGAAGGGAAAACCCCGACCGCCACCACCCTTGGCCCATTATAAAGCTTGTCACAGAAGTAACCTGCCATTGGTTTTGTTTGGCTGGGCATGCTTTGCTGTAGGAGTGAAGGGTAAAACATGCCGTGGTATTAAGGCATTGTATGATAAACATGTGGTTAGTACATGTATGTTGTCAACAAGCAGACAGGCATAGACCTTGCTGTTAGTGCCCTCTACCATTCATGCTTTATGCGTATCACATTAAAAGAATTCACGCTCTTTGAATTTGTAAAATTATGTTTTGGTCGTGTTGTTTACAAAACTTGTCACCGCCTGCCATGGTTTTTTTTTTGTACGACAAAACGTGAAACATTAAAATATAATGCCAGGAGTGATTTACAGGTCATTGTAACTTTTATAATCAACTTTGAAATATGTTTGAATATATTTATTTTCTTAAACCATGAATTTCAAGCCGTGAGAATGAGAGAGAAGGGATGTAAATAATTAAAACCGAGCCTTGTCCTGTTGCATCATGGAGGAAGGAATAGATCTGTTCCTTCCTCCTACGGCATTGAGACATTGTTAATACGGGGCATAATCTTTCTTAATCAGAACCATGGTGATGATGGACAGGTTCCTCAGCACTGTATCCAAATGTTTGGACCTTGCCAAATGTAACAGTAGGAACAGTAGCACTTTTGATAATAATGACATCATTGCCGATTCCCATGAGCATGTTTGATAATGTAGTTTAAGCCACACATGTACCCCTACAGTGATAATAAGCAAGCTTCCCAAGAGGCAGCTGTCCTCGTCCAGCCATCAGTAAGTTATTGTGTCACTGAGGGGAATGCACACATATATATGTATGTTAAGATTGATGCTGACAGTGACAACATCATGAAGTTACTCTAGGTCATGACAATATCTGCAGTTTATGGATAATTTTCTGTACATAACCTTCGACGTGAAGTCAGATTCTCATGTCACTTTCTGTTGTGTGTAAACTGATGAACCTGAATACTAGTTTTGAAGTTTAAAAACAATCATGAAAGTTCCCATAAACTTCTCATGTGACTTAATTGATCAATATTTCAAACCGATTTTGTGGAGGCCGGTACCAGACAGTTCGTACATGCATGATTTATGGTCAACACCATGCTGGTTATAACAGACCGGATGGAGATATGTCTCTGGGCAGCTCTGAGCAGATATGCAAAGCTGTTTTGTAGGTAACACCTGTTTGTGTCATAATGTGGATTGGAGAATTTCCGATTTTTGTGTGTGATGAAAGACCCTCCATATTTGACAGTATTGTAATTATTCATCAAGAATCCGTACCCCAACCATTGTTTGAAAGGATTCCAACGTGTGTTATATAAGAGAGTCAGTGCTCTCTAAAAGGGTAACAAATATCCGCTGGCCCCTCATCAGCTCTCCTTTCCATGTCTGGCTTGTGGATTAGTATGTTAAGTAGATCTGCGAATAACCTGGCAGGAAGGTAGGCTAGGAAACAGTAGGTTGCGTTGTTTGAAAGATGATTCTTTTCCCAGGGCTACTATAAATATCCAACCTCACCATGACCTTAAATCTGAGGGGTTCGAAAAACCCCTCAACCCCATGACTCCCTTGCCTTTCGTTCAAATCCCGCAAAACACAGATGAACGGGTGCCTGAACTCACGGAATATGTGCTTTTATCAAACAGAGACCACTAGGACCTGTGTTATGCATCATTTCCCCAGTTTGAGAACATCAACGGTATTAAAAAAGTGATGCATGCACGCGGGGCACAGCTACACTTGTATGCATGCAACTCATGCGTTGTTAATGTACTGGTGAATGCACGGATGACCAATCAGGCCAGTCTGGTCGTGGCCCAAATAAGAATGGAGGCTGCTTGGCATTTAGGAGGCGGATTAGGAGTGATTATTATAAAATTTGCGTATCTGCACTGATGCACATGGGTATTTTTCATAGGAAGGTAGGGGCAGTTATCGAAAGTGGGATGCATGGAGGAACTTTTAAGTATAAAATACAAAATTGCTTTCTCAGCGAAGTTGCACAGTAGTTAAGTTACAAGAGCATGTACTTGACTTATAAGCGGCAAGGCATGCATTCAAATCTACGTAAATGCAGTTATGATTTTTTGGGGAATAGTTGGTTGGAAGATGTTTTTATAATAGGAAAGTAAAGCCCGACATTTACCTTCGAACCTTATTTTCTTTACTGAATAAATTTCCCCCAAATTGATCAAGCTTGCAGTTAACCACGCCCATATATGATAATTGCCCCTAACCCTCCTAGATAAAAAACACCTGACCGTAAGGTAATTATATTCTCCACACAGAAATAGATGCGCGAGTACCTGTGGGAAGAGTCCCGTTTTCGGACGTGATCCGATTTGTGATCAGCAGCAAGTATTACATGGGCATAAGTGAAGTTGTCAGTGGAGGGATTGAGGGGGTTGTGGGGCGAGGGGGTTGTGGGTCAAGGAGGTTGTGGGTCGAGGGGGTTGTGGGTCAAGGGGGTCTCAGAACAACCTAAATCTGAGGTTACAGTGTACAAATTTAATAAGCAGCTAGCTTTCAGTATCTGGTTGGAAAAGCATGTACATATTTTCTCTATTTCCAGACTTCGGTTCTATATTAACCCTCTGCCCACTTAGTCGGCTGCTGAATCTGAAGGCCTAAGCCTTCAGTCATCATAAACCATTGTCTTTAAAACAACCTTAAAAATATTCTAGTTTTAAACGTGCCCTAGTCATGGGGGGGCAGTTCATCTAGCCCCAGAAATTTCAGCACTTGGCATTATATCCCATGTGTCTTCAATGCAGAAATATTGTGTTGGATACATTCACAAGGTGTGTCTACTGGTCAGCAGAGCCTTCAGGTGTTGACATTTTCTCCAGATCCCTATTCAGCATTAGGACATTTGCAACTAGTAAAGCGTCCAAGTTTTTTTCTGAACACAATCGATGAATTTTTTTTCTTGCACGTAGAAAAACAGATTTGTATGCCAAGATTTGGAAATGTATTGTTGGCTGTCGGATCAGGATGGAATCAAGGTCTTTTTGATTCCATTTCTAAGAGCAACAGGCACGGATTTTGTGCAAGTTTCATTTCAATATTGAAGTTGTACAAGCACTGCTGTGGAGTCCCTCCATCAAAAATGTGCTCACATGACAGAAAGCAATATCTAAAGCCTGTGGACACGGCGGAAACACCAGCTTTTATTTCCTTTGACTAGCTCTCCACGGTTGGATGGGGCCAGGGCTTGGTAAACCAGCCTGCTTTTTTATTGGTCACAGAGAAGGCAGGTATCCATGGGGCTGTGCCATAAATAGTCTCCTGTGCAAGAGAATAGTGTATTTGCCAGCTGTGTTGCAAAATCTTGGACAACTAATGGAAAACAAGTATTTGATCCACATGGAACCAATACAAGTCTGTATTAACATTGCGCCTCTGCTTTTAGGAATCTCTGCACGAACTAATCAATTATCGTCAACTTTCTCTTGAATATATGTCACTTCCAAGTGGACCTTGTCTTTAAAATCATTTCATGACTACCAGTCACCAAACACATTCTTACAACTGACTAAGCACTCACTTTCTGGCAAATTTTGAAACGTTTCACCTTATTCTGTATAATTATTGTGAGCTTTCATTTATCTTACTATTAATGCAGGCCTATAATCTTCTCAAATAGCTCCCTGAATAGACTGTGCTTTAATTGTTCATTCAAATAAAAATATAGATTTCATCGGTACTTCATAAAAGACAACTTTAATAATGTATATTTTTTACATTAACACAGCATAAAATGGTAACAGATCATAGAGAATACATGTACATGTAATTTGGTGCCCTTGACAAGAGATCGTTCTGATCTAATGCTGTTAGTCACAACACAACACATACAGTACATGTACATACACCTAAATTTGCCTCCTCTTTCCAGCAAAGATCTTATTGCCTGTAGTGGTGCTGATATGAGTGGCAGGTTGTGGTAAATGCCCCTGGTACAAGGTTGACAAAACATCACGCCATCTCCCAACCATCCGAGAAGCTATCAATGAACTCCTGCTGGAAGATTCCATTTTTGGCAGCGGTTGAAAGCGCATCATGGCCGCAGCAAACAGTTCTTGCTGCACCACTAATAAACAAAGGAATAAAGTAGGAATTTGATGACATGAACCAGGAGCATGTTAATTAAGGCGGTCATTTTTTCTTACACTATAATATCTGGCAACAAGAGACATTGATGCTATCCCATTTAAATGTCACATCCCCTTATCAAATAGTGGTAGATTCCACATACCAGACTGCTCCTCCTGATTCACATATGAATATTCATTTTTTTCCTGAGCTGTTCTTAAAAGGTCACGGAACTTCTCAGGTGAACAAACTTTGCTGGATAAATCACCCCACACTTTGCCCCTCCCCCTTTTTTACTTTTTTTTTTTTAAATTGTCCAGTATTGTAGTATTGCCATGATTGCTTGGCACATATTTAATTCTAGGCCTTCCTGTGATATACAAAAATAATTTAATCAAATGTTGAAATTATGTTTTACCAATGCCTAAATTATATGCATTATATGCTGAGTTTTGGTCTCACTAGAGACATGAAAGTGGGAGCTAGCTTGCCCAAACTTGCTGTAATTTTGACCATTTTCAAAAGGAAATGCCTTCCCAAGTGTTGTAGAATTTTGATAGACTTTTTCGGATACCAGTGCACAAAGTACCGCTTCCCAGATTTTAATACTAAAGGTAGAATGGACAAAGACTTAAGATATATAGTTTTAGGCTTACCTGCCGTGTGCATATCCATGTGTTGATTTAAAGGCAGGCTTAGGCTGCAAGGCTGGGGTGAACAAACTTTAGCACACATCACGCCACTTTCAGTCTTCCTTTTCAAGAACAGAATGCTGCAGCTGCCAGGGGGCTTAATTTGCAATTTGTTGGGGGGAAAAATCATTTCCTTTTGATATACATAAAAAGAGTAGTAATTATGCAATGTTCACCAACTCCTTCAGAGAATTATGTCTTAACATATGATTGTCTTCAGATGTATTGCAGATTTACAGTCATATGTTGTGGATGTTCATTTCTTCCATGTTGTTTTATTTTAAATCAGTTTTGAGAATTTTAATTTGATTTTATCATCTCCCAGTCTATTCCTGTCTTTATTTAAGTACCAGTGATCAGAAGGCATCTATAAAATTACTGAAGACTCAAGAGCATTATTTGTGAAAAGGGGCATTAAATCCTGCAAATAGATTCTGAGTCCTTGGCTAGCCAGCAACAGGCTATTCTGTTAAGGGATTCTATCATCTCAGAGACTGGGAATCTCCTACTTCTTTTTCTTTTTACATGAGGAACTAACTTTACAGCCCACAGAATGGTAGAAAGTGCTCGATCACTGTGAAGTGAAAGTTGTATGAAGATGTCTCTTTAACAGCTTGTCCTTTTGTAAGAATTCCTAAGAAATGTAGATTTCTTTCTCTCTCGTGCTGCATTTTCATTTGTAAAATGTCAATGTGTCCTTCAGGGCTTCCTGTTTGTATTGGAAGAATTAGGAATGCTGTCAGCAAGTCTCCGACAAGTTTTACGTGATGCTGTCTTCAAGAAGGCATCATTTCCCTTTGTCCACTCTATCATTATTTTTCACATTTAGCTAGCATGTTGTTTTTTGTTTCTCTTTTGACATACATGTATATGTAACTGCTTATTTTTGTAATTATTTCTTTTAAAATAGGTATGCTGTCGAATATCTCGTTTTTTTACCCTTGCCCATTGGTCTCTTATGGACTTGTTGGTTGTTAAATTGTCTTTGTTTGCTGTGGAGGGAGTTGTTGGAGCCTTCTGGCAGGTTTTAGGCAATGCTTTGAAGTATATGAATGAAACAGATTCATTAAGTGCCTCAGTGGAGAGAGTCTAGAGATCAAAGGACATGTGCACAGACGTGTCCAGTTAATGTTAATGAGTCTCTGTGATTTGTACATGCAGTATGTCTTTCACAATGCACCGTCAATTTCTGTGGTGTTCGTTTACAGGATGAAATAGCCATCTGCAACTCGGTCCCATTCAAGCAGGCAGTGACGTGGCTGGTTCTGCTTCAAGAGCTCATTCAGAAACACCAGGTACAAGCTAGGATGAATAATCTCGGTGACAAAACGCACAGTTTCCAGAGATCACAAAATACATTTGGGGCAAATAGACTCAATTTCTGTGAAACATTGCTGGAAATTGAGATATGCCATTACTTCCGTCCTCATTTACCTTCCCTAAGGTCATAAAGATGGCTGACTCTTCACAGGTGAGAGGTCATAAGCAATATGTTGCAACCCAGTTGCTCAGACAGCAAATTTGATTGTAACTTTGTAAGTGTTTAGACACAGTTTTAGCCAAAAATGTAACACCAAATCAAGTTCACAAGCTTTGAAGAGTTCATCCCAATGAGGACAGGGGAACTATCAGCCCAGCCTGTTTTCAATAACTTGAATAATCTCAACAAGGGGGGCTGGTGTGTGTTGTATCAGGAGGATTTGCATGCAACAAGAGTGGTTGTATTTATGTGAGATTTCATTTTCATTCCTTTGTGCCGCTCGTTTGTTGCAGGTTCACACAGATCCTGGTTGCCAGGCAGTGGTACAGGAATGGCTGAGAGAAAGGAACCAAGTCAGGTAGATGGGGCTGAGTCAAATATTCAACCATCTATTTGATCAAATATTCAAATATTCATTCATCTACCGGATGGTAAATTTTATGTGAACAACACATGAACAGAAGCAGTTCTATTAACGCACACAACTGCACATTATAATCACTACCGTAACGATGGCTTCTAAATTTTATGACTATCACCCCAAATTCACATGCAAATGAGAAATTGCTTTTGCTTAGTTAAGAATTGTTATTTTTTCAACAAAAGTATGATCAATTTAGTAACAGATATATGAATATCCTGATATCCAGCGCAGCTCTACAGGTAGGCATACCTGTTCCACACCTCTACATGCTTGCTGCTTTCAACATTTGTGAAAAGTGCTAACAAACCTTGAATCCCACATGGTTTTGAGAGAAGTAATGCAATTATGCAAGATTCTTATCGTACTTTCAATGAAATGTGTCTGTGAAAAGATTTACTTTGTCTCCACAACAGAGTTTTGTCACAAAAGAACTCAATTTGTTTTAGTGGCCGAATTTTAGGAGTTTTCGAGGAAGTGCTAGCAGTGAAATTGAAATTGAGAAATTTCCAAATTGAAATTCAAACTTTGGAAATTTTGTAAAAATGGTTTATTTCACCTCTTAGGAAAACAACCAAGACGTTATTCAACCCGCAGTTTGGCAGCATCTTCCGCACTTTCCACAATCCATCCTATTTCACCTCCCGCCTGTGTCGCTTTGCTGACATCTACATGTCCTGCCTGGGCAACCTCAACTCCTACTCCCTAAACCACACCTTCTACCCCCGCCGCTCGGCCCTGCCCCACGAGCTCAGCTTCAGCAACGTCCTGCAGCTGTGATGCCGAGGGAGACAGTGTCAGTTTTTTTTAGCACGAAAAAACAACCAGAGCGCAATCCCTTGCCGATGTTCAGAATGGGCCCCGTCCCAGGACCTCAGGCTGATTTCACAGTGCAGAAATTTGCTACATGTGCTGTTGGCGTTCTCTTGCAGGTGAATAGCAGGTACCTTCACCAAGCCGGTTTTGAAGACAATTTATCTCTTTCATAGAAGTACATGTTCACATCAGTTCCAGTTGTACAGCATGGCCTTGAATAATTGCATGATCAAAATGGCAGCTCTGGAGCCTACAGCACTCACTGTACAATTATTTCTGCTCGTTCATCGGTAACAGTTCTTATAATGCACAATAGAGGGCTGAAGTTTTTCCCTCGTGTGTGGTTTCCATGGCATCTATCCACCGTTTCCTTGCTCCATTGGTGCTAATCTTTGGAAAGTTCAAGCATATGAATCAAACGGCAGGTTACCTTTTTTTAACCCACCTTGTCTCTTAATGGAGACTGTTGTGATGAAGAACTTGAAAAGTTGTGTAGCCAATTTCTTCATTTTGGGGAAGCAGAAAATTTTTTTTAGAAAAATCTGAAATACTGACAGCAGATGTTTTCTTTGGGTGGGTAATTCAGTACTTAAATATGTAATCTTTATGAAGATATAAGCTTCTCAAGTATAGTATGGCGTTGCAGTTCACTGTCTTATCGGAATCTGTTATGCTTAACAAGGATTTCAAAAACTTCTGCAACTTCACTCTGTAAACAGGCAGCCCTTGTAATTCATTATGAATTGAGGAATAATTCAATCCTTCCATAAAAATTAATGGTTGGCTTCCATATAATTTGTTTAAGAAGAATTGAAACATATGTGTACAGTGTACCTTTAATGAGTATTGTTGAAGCAAGATGCTGTGTTATATTCAGTTCGTAAACCTACATGGAACAGTACTGACGACCCTCCCTCACTGCAGTGTGCATGGATGCAACTTCTAGTTATAAACAAAATAGTTCATTCCTAGTATCAGGAATTGTTTACTCTCTGAGATGATAAATAGGCCGACGATTCCACTGTGAACTCATTATATTATTCCTTCACGTTCGTCATGGAGGATTCCCCATGCTTTCGTAGAGTTTTATTCCTGCCAAGAAATTGATTTGAAGTTCTATGAAAAGTCTAACTTTACTTTGCGTGTTTTTAAAGTTTAACATTCGGTATCGACTTCAGTTTGTTTGGGAATTTATTTTATGCGGTTTACATGGTCACTCTGAACATGTATGCTTTTCTTCCAGAACTCTTCAATATATTGTGCAATAAGATGTTTTCAAAAACGATTTTTTTTAAAAACTCGGTTTGGGAACTTAGTAAACTCGAGTTGTTTTATGCAGTGAAAAAATATGTTGTTTGTCATAATATCTGTGTTCAGAGGTTCGTGCCATATAAGAAGGAAATGGATTGTATATTTATGAATTCTTGGTGCTATGCGTAAAATATCTGTTGTCTGGGGAGCTGTCCCGCCACTTTTCTGCAAAGATTATTTCCAGGTCTCTGGCCTGGTCCCTTGGAATTTGCGCGGCCAGGCATGCTTCTGGCGAATACTGCTACATTAACTGCATGGTAACAGGCCGTGGACAGACGTGATCAGGCAGACCAAATAATCATACACTCCGCCAAGGCCAACATCATCGCCCGGCCAGACGGAGCAAGGCTTTGTTGCTTGGAGAGTTACGTAACAACGTCCTCCACGAGACAAGTGAATGTTGTTTGCACTAGCGAGGTCGCTCGACGTCTAGACATGGTCTGACATGAAATGTTTGGAAAGTTGCGTTGGAGACAAAAAAGGAGGATAGCGAAATTCATTTGAAAATGGCAACGCCTCGCACTTCCCAACCCAATTTCAAACTGGGAGATTCAAATTTCGTTGAGCTTTACTTTTACTCAAGCTGTGGAACCATGGAGAATTTTGAGACAGGATTATGAATACATTAATTTTGGATTATGAGTACCTTTTTTTTTTCGTCGGTTTTAATTTCCGGAATTTTGGAAATACATACATGTACTTGTCATTTATATTAATCAAGTATCCTCGCTTATTAATGTCAATCGAAATAAACACGTGAATTGGTCCACTATTTACTTACCAGGAGGCTTTTTAGTTTCCTAAATATTATTGTTTCCAGCATCATGCAAAACGATGAGAAACGTCTGCAGCACCACTACTGGCGGATATTTGCGCACTATAAATACACATCGACGTTATTTAAAATGCAATCATTTATTGTCGCTTTGAGCAAGAGGACGCAGAACCATAGATGTGCTACATTTTGCGGTGTTCACTGCAGGACGTGCAGTCATTCCCTGAAGTTGAGTCAGGGAATTTCCCCCTGAACACCACGTCCGGTTAGCTTCTGACCTGTAATCTTACCAGGGTTTGATTTGCAAGCATTTTTGTGGGAACAAACTTACTTGAGGTCCGGGAAATTTTTTGATCAACCACACCTGGTTCCGGGGAAAAGAACGAAAATAAGTTGTTATGTTGTAGGTGTATTTTGTTGGCATATTATCCATCTACAAGGTCAAACTGCGTACGTGTATATATTAGTCCTCCAAGGCTTTGTTTGGGGCCCTTGCTCTATGCTTTAAGCAAACTCAATTGCCACTACTACTTGACGTGAAAAGAATTGGTTCGATATTTTGTACGGGTCAACAAATAATAGGATTATAACAAAATGTGTAAAGGTTTCATTTCAAGAAAGGACATAATGTGAATAAACCGCAAAAGGTTTCTGCGTCCGCATTCTGCATGTAGTGTACTACATGTACTATAAAACGAATCGATGGTGGTTACAACTTTGCTTTGTCTTTGTCACTGCTCTCGCGGGAGCAAAAACCTGTACAAGATGTCCAGCAGATGACGTCAAACAGCCCTGAGCCGCGATTGGAGGAACCTTTGTCCATGACCGTGGCCTTTGCACACCACAAGTTAACAATGGAATTCTTTTCCTTGTTACACGATGGACAATGGAATTTGCGTTTTCTGACAACGACGTTGAGTGGAATGACACCGGTAGTTGTTTAGGTGTGGCTGGACGAAGTTTATAATTATTGTGGAGGGCTGCTTTTAGTGTGTAATATTTCCATCACAAATTAAAAAAAAATCAATTACATAGTTGATGAACTCTGAGAACCGAATCTTTTTTCTCCATTTTTTTCTTTTAGGTTAAGAACAAACAGAATAACGGGTAGGGAACGCTTACTGTTATTACTGTTAAAGTTAGTTACACGATTTTTCCATCAGTACAGTAGTCTAGAAGAAAAAAAAAGCGACAGCGCGGTCGGTAAAGACTGACCATTGCCATTCCCCCCCCGCTTGTTCAGAGTTGTCGTAGCAGCCGGTACAAATACTCCACCAAACAACCCGCTTATAAGTAACGTTTTCCCAATCAATACTTCCCAAAGAAAGTTGAGAGGTCTTCAATGGAGGGGCATTTGTCAACATCGCTTGGCCGTTGGACCGTTAACTTCAAAACTGCTTTGCAACCTAAGTTGCGACAATCAAAACGCAAGTTTGTAAAACTAAATTTCCTGGAGTAAATTTTGTCAGTCAGTACAGCAATTCCAGATACAATGATCAATGTCTTTTTTATTTTGTACAAAACAAAGGGTAAAACACCCAGCTTAATAGTAACCGTCATTAACTATAACGAAAGCACTACTTACACTCACAAACTTAAATTTTGTGCGTTTTTGTTCATTGTGATAAAATATACGGGACAATTCAATGTCATCCAGCAAACACCGAGAGGAAATGAAGGGGGAAAAAACGAACAAATTAGTTCTCGAATATCCGTCTTCACTTACCATAGTGTCATATTCCTGGCAGCGCAAGTCAGGAATATTTCTATTTTTCACTACAGAAAGAGTTTCACTGTATGAATAGTATACGGAATAATTTAAAATTCGGCGATTTAGCACTCACAAAGAGCATCATTTTAAGTGCAAAATTTAAGGTTAACCACTTAATGTAAGTCCTCCAAGAAACGTGGTGTATTGTGCATGTCTCCGAATGAAAATTTTCAACAGAAATTCATCACCAAGCGCATTCACTCGACTGTTCATTCAAAATGATTCCAAAACATTCAATACTTAACTCCTACAAAAATAACATTTTAACTTGGGTCTCCTTCTGATAAACTCTTTCTAACAGAAACATTGACAGTAGTTTTTACTTTGCGATAAATTTGACTGGGTATTTTGTTTAACATGTTGACCTTTCAAACAAACTATCAAAAAGCTGGTAGTTTAGTAAACTGTTCCCGACATTTGCTAAGTTCTGTACAAAGGCTGAATGGTCCATAAGTTCAAAAAGTGAGTGACATGTCCTAAAAATACAGTCAGATATTGAGATAGAAAATTCCTCAAGTCAAAGTCTCATTGCACAATGTTCTGCGAAGTTGTTCAAGAAATAGTCTTTTCATTCAAATCAAAAGTGACGACGATGACTTGGGTTTGAAGCATGACTGGTAGTCGCCCAGTTCTTCTTGGTATTTGGTGGTCAGTTTTTTGCTGACATTGGTGAGCTGCTGAAGAATACTGAACAACCCGATTAAATGTTCCCTGAATGCCCGTGCCGTGGCCTCCTCCAAACTCCGGTTTTTGTCAGTCCCGATGTTCTCCTTGTCGTCGTCGTCGTCGTCGGCTGCCAACCGGTCCTCCTCGGGAATTGGGCCACGGACCAACTCGGACTTGACGGCTTTCAGCATGGCGTAGCAGGCGTGAAGGCTGACAGAGTCCTGGGCACAGCTGGCTGGGATGACAGCCATGTCTTGACTCTTGGTGCTGGACGCGGCGTTCTGCTGGAGAGCAAGCGTCTTGGGCTCGGCCTGCATGTCCATGAGCCGGCTGGGGATCAGTACCGTCTCATCCATCTCGTTAACGGCGTCGATGAATCCCTTCATTACGCTCAGAATCGAGTGATTGGAATGACTGTGCGACATTCTCTCGTTGTCTGCAAGATTCAACTCCATCTTCTGCGAGCTGTCTGAGTTCGGTGGTCTAGCTAATGTCAACAATGTCTTCTATTTCGACAAACGGCACGACACCAATGCAGCTAGCTGCCAGGCGCACAGAATGAATACCTCAGTTTAAAGTTAGTATCTCGGAGTGCAGAAGGATCCGCTCCAGGTTGCAATACACGGTAAGAAGTAGGAGAAACAGGCTATTATAATTACAACTTGCCTGCTGACTTGATCTAATCACGTCTTCGCACTCGAGCTTGTTTCCTATTTGACAACTCCACTTGGATTTCATCATTTTTATACGGTGAAATGACGGATTGTTTTCTTTTTAGGTCGGCGGCGACTCATGCACTCAGAGGTCACCGCACGCATTGTTCAGAGGAAAACCTCACGCACATGCGGCACACAACGCGATGGAAAAACCGGCTCGCCTGATCAGTGACGTCACCACACAAAATGTAAAAAAGGTGATCACGCCAGACGAGCGTGATCCGATTGGCCAATACCAGAAACACACTGGCTTGCTTTGCATTTTAAATACATTAGCATACGAACACGCGGCCGCACGCAGAAGCCAGGGGCTTACTGAGTGCACCTTGCACCTTGCATGAACTTTGACAGTTCTTGGAAGTTTCAACAGTAACAGAGAAGGGCCTCCCCATGTCGGAAAATAAACATCGTAATTAAGATACATATTTACGCAATAGGAAACGTAATTAGTCCATTCATGGTTCATGATGGCCCCACTACTTTCACCGTAGTTCTTGCATTAATATAATTCTGCACCTTTCTGGCGTTCATTCAAGATTTTGACAACTAAATTACATGTACATGTATATCGATCACTAAGGAAAATGACAATCCACCTCAAATTTCACACGTATTTATTGCACAATAATGGGGTTATTTAAATTTTAGACATCTCTCTGCAGAAGGGGTGAGCGATCGCATGTTCATTCAGGGTGGGCAGATCAAAATTATAATCGACCCGATGAGGACACGTCAGAACCAGTTATCATACGTGCGTGATCCGCAGCACGCGGAAAAGACGTGGGTCAAACTAAACACCATCCACTTAGGCTCAATTAACCCACGGACCCTCTGTCTGCTCATCATTACTGGGAACCTCCCTAACAACAACTTCCAATGCACTTTCGTAGTAGTCCTGGCCCCAAAAGTTTAACCATGGAACCGAATCCCAGTGATCCCACTGATGCAAACTAATTCAACTCTAATTAAGACAGCTATTCCCATATTTTTCGAAGAGCGCCTCCACTGTCTTTCTTTTAGCAAAGTTGCAATTCTCCCATCTTTTGGAGTATCCCGATTTCAGCAGGTCTACTACTCTCAGTTCAGTACTCAAATGCACGAACGAGATCGCTGAGATGAGTGCTAGATATGACCTGAAGATCCTTTCCTCCGTCGTTCGTAATCATGGCCAAGCTTGACATAACTAGTATGACAAGCCCACACTTGCACAAGAGGCAGAAAGTAAAGTCCCTCACGATAAAGTAAAGAAAGAAAAAAGACTGGTTTTGAAGATAAGAGCATACAAAGTTGATTGGACGGACAAAAATTATCTCGGACATACTGACTAATTAACCAGCCAGTGCACAGCGGCTCTGATGTCCGTTTCCTCCTGTAATTCCTCGACACAAGTCCGGGTAAGGTTGAAAGGGGAAAAATTCCGCTAGACTTGACGTAGTGTTTTCTGAGTGGCAAGTTTGGTCAATGTTAGTCTACTCAGTGATTCCGGACCTAGCATGACAGAGACCCCTGCGGCCTACGCTGTACCCATTGTTTTCCCCTTGTGGTCCCGTATAGACCCCGGATATCCGGGGTCTTGGAGCGATTGACGAAAGCAAATGCGGACGCGCGCCCTAATACATAGCCGCCGCCAGCCTGAGTGGTTTGAACAACCAACTTTGGGGATGAATTCCGGCTAATGTCACTCAAGAGACATTCCCTCGGTGCTCCTGCCAAAAATCCAAACGCATACCATCGGTAACTAAGATATAAATCTAGTTATGAGGTGTTTCCCCATTCAACAACGGTGATCTACAGGTCAATCCTGACTTAGAAAGCGGAGGTACACGGAAAATTACTTTCAGCTCATCACAGCAAACATCCATAGTACGAGCGATGTCAATAGTAATAATACTGTATTTGGCATGAATGACAAAGACATGAGTTGAAAACACCGTTGTGCTGAGTATTAAAATTTCAAGCATAATCATTTAAATGTTTTTTAGCCTTATGTTTAACATAGTCCTATCACGAGTTTTCAGTCTCAAAGTTAATTGTGAAAGTTCACTTGTACCTACCATAATGGTACATATCAAGGGTGCTTGGTTCTGGTATTGGTGCCACAGGGGGCAATGGGGCGCTCACCGTACCCCTACGGGAAAAAAATGAACAATGAAAAGGGGGAAGAATAGTAAAAGCGAGATAAACGAAAAAAAAATGGGAAAAGGGGAGGTGAAATCATCAATTTGCATGAAAATAGGTCGCAGTTGACCCTTCAACCATTGACACTTTATCAGTTTGCGGTTGACGAGTGTTTTTTCTTCTCACCCTGCGAAAGCCTCCCCCCCCAAAAAAAAAACCTTGTCAAAGTGGTCGAGTACGCACTAAATTTGAAGCGCTGATGAGGACTGGGCTCGAACTTTGTCAGGCCGTCCACCGATGGTGGCGCTGTTCACGATCACCGGGAAACAAAACTCGGGGGGGGGAACTCCGCCAATCTAAGTACGTTCTGTCAGTATCATGTCTTGCATGTTGTAATATTGCATGTCCTGGGAATTTCCCCTCTGTCCTGATTGTACGGTTGTTGAAGGGATTGTTGTGGTACATGTATGATAGATTTCATCATGAGCCGTTCGTATACGGTCGGCCCAAGGACCCGCACGCAGTTTGAGAGCAGAAACAAAGCCTCATCAAGAATTGGAGACCGCGGAAACAGATCAGGGATTCTACCATCGGCATCGTCTGGAGACGCCGGCAAGAAGTCAGACTTCTTAGCAAATGCAAATTCTTCACCGTCAAAAACCTGCACATCTAGATCACCTCTGAAGCCAAAGGTGGTGACCCTAGCAGACCTCAGTTCAGGAGACCAAAAGACAAAAATTAAACCTGGGCCTAAACCATGTAAACCTACGGTTAGAACGGTGTCTGAATCTTCCAGAAAATATACTGCTGCAGAAAACGGTCAAACAACAGGAGCAAGGTCAAAAGGCAAAAACACAAAGATGTGGGACGACAGTGCTGACCTGAACAATTCAACAACACAGAGAGGGAGCAGAAATACCGTCAGTAGTTACCATGGCAGCAGGAGTGACAACCATACTTTCAATTCCCCTGACAGCAACCAGGCGAGCTTTGCAAACGCCCAGTCCTCAGTCAATGTGGACAGGCAGGAAACATACCAATCGTAAGTTTAGTTTGGTCATTCAGTTCTACTCTGCGGGACCGATAATTTTGATGTCCCCTAAACATTCCCCATGTAATTGAAATTTTTGTCTGTCCTCTTCAGCCAAGGAAGTTACACCCGTGTGATGCCCGATCCCAAGAAGCGTGACAAGTTACTGAATCGTAAGCTTTTGATTGATTAAGATAATAGCTGCCTTTTAGAAACACCAAGTGCGTCCATAATTCCCTGTGCCCTCCAATGAAAACTGCAAGGCTGTGCAAAAATAAGTTTTCTTTTCCGTTCCACCCTTTACATGTTGATTTCATTCTGCGTGTGAATTCTATCGAGATTTTTGATCTCATTTTCCAGAGCGCTCATCAGAACTAGAGAAGTTGGAAGCGTACAAAGAGAGACGAAAACTGGGTCATGTGTCAATGAAACCAACTCCTGTGGGTATGTAGTACAGTCACCGTCCACTGATCACACCCCCATTTACCTTTTTTTCGTATCTGTAAAAATTACCTGTCAAAAATAAAGTTGACCTTTTCCTCGCCACCCGATGATGGCAGAAACCAGGTGCGAGGTGTTGTTCTCAAGAACCTGGTGCTGCTTTGTCATTTTCCGCAGGAGGAGCCAGAGTCTCGGAAGAGGAAGTTCGACGGAAACAGCAGAGAGAGCAGCAAGAGAAGAAATACGACCTCATTGTGAGTCAAAACAGACTGAGGACATCCCAGGTTTCCTATAGACAAACGGAGGACACTGTTCTAAATGTCATGACCTTTCTTGGCATCAGCTCTTCTCAGAGCAAATACTGTCTTTCAAATGGGATGCTTCCTGCCTTCCTATAGTCTGCCAACAAACAATACTACCTTGTACACCACGTCACCATGCAAAACTCCGAACAAGTCTTGACACCTCAATTAATTAGACTGCTTGCTTAACAGGTTATGTCATGTGGAGCCTTCGTATGGTATCTTGTACAATATGAATTATTCTGTTTCTTCCAATTGACAGCTTACCAGAGGGAAGAATTTCACATGTTGTGATGAATCAGTCACGTAGCAAAATGGTCATTGTGTTGTGGGCCTTAAATCAACATGTTCCTTGACATAATGTTGGTCTTAAAAGCTGATCGTTAAATTGTTACTGTCTGCTCTGATTCATTAGCGTAAGCGGGAACAGTGGGCCGAGGAGAAGAGACAGCGAGAAGACCAGGAGTTTGCTGAGAAGAAGACCAAGGCTCGTCAGCAGGTAAGAACGGATGTTAAAGGCTAAAGGCCATTTAGCACAGTTTGCCAAAGTAGGCATGTGCTGTGGCCATGTGATTCCTGGCCGGAACCGAGACCTGGTTGTAGGTCTGACCAGAGCTTGGTGTGGATAATGTGATGAGTAATCGGTTATCACATGAGAAGTTGCTCTGTGTAATCGGTTTCAGGACCACTTGATGTGAGTCTTCAACCAAAGAAAATCTTCTCTTTGTGAAACACTTTTTGAAATTGCCTAGTGCTTGCCGAACATGTTGCCGTGACTGTTTCAGTCCTTTATGATTATGTTTCAGTCCTTTTAAGTATTACCAAAATGAAACTGAATTGGTTGCAAATGTGTACACGTGTGATTTCATGCATCATAACAAAAGTAGACAAATTGAGAGGTGAATGTAGGGTACTGCCGTTACACCAACGTTGGTTTACTGATAAAAGTTCTTGAGTATTCTCACGTTATAATTTGCAGGCGGAGAAGAACAGGCAAAAGGAGCTGGCACGGCAGAGGGAACTGCAGGCCCAGAGGCAGGACTGGATTGCCAAGGGTGGGCTGGAGAGATTTGGGGAAGGCACAGAGACCTTGCCAGAGGACGAAGAGTCAGAAGAGTTTGAGATTGACGAAAGCGCTGTTGACGGGCTGAGGGAGTTGTTCCCTTTCAAGGATCCCACGAAGATACGCCAAATGCTCAGGGCAACCAAGGGGAACGTGAACACGGTCATTGATTGGCTGTCTGACTAATGCTTACAGTCACTGATTGGTTATGTGATGTCATGAGTACAATTGTCCGTTGGCTGAGTCAAAGGTTACAATACAAACACCTTCACTGATTAGCTGCCTGACTAGTGTTACATAGAAACTTCTACAATGACTGATTTACTGTATTAAAGTTATATGAAAACAGTTACTGATTGGCTGTCAAAGTTATATGTACAGTGATTGATTGGCGGTCAAAACGACAGTTAGTATGTATGCATTGACTAGCTGCCTATCTGATGTTTTACAGTTTGACTAGTTGCCTAGTAGTGCTATATAAACTCAATTATGAGTTGGCTGTCTGAGACAAAGGTTACATTGTAAACACAGTCACTGATTGGCTGTCTGACTGAACCTCTGATTCAAGTTCTTCAGTTTCTGATTGGTTGTGTAAGGCTGAGTTAATCCAATACTCCAAGGAAACTGAGCCAAAGTTGCAAAAATAGAAAAGACAGCTTTAACCACATACCACTGACTGCAATAATTAGTGTTACCCATCCGCACACATAGGTTATTACATGTACAGTTCTCAATTCCGGTGTGGCTTTTTTCCTGATGAAATGCTTTCCTCCTGTTCGCCAACACACATTTCAGTACTATCCTGGTTAAATTACATGTATGCCTATTTCAGCAATTCAATTCTGGGCAAACTGAAGACACCCAGACTCTTTGCTATAAAGTACTTGAGTATACTCCTCTTGTGACTCCTCTCTTGAGAAGTGCTTTGAAACGTTTTAAAGGATGTTTTAAGAACTCTGTGTGTGTTTGAATTGGAGACTGTATTACTTAATTCTGACTGCAATAATAACAATGGTTGTGTCTTACCTTTTTTTGTCAGTTTTGAAGTCTAGTGGAATTTCAAAGGAAGATGTGTGTTCAATGTACTTGTAATATTAAAACCCACAAGTACACAGTGGGCGGGGCAAGTAGGGAAGGGGCAGGGGCAAGTAGGGAAGGGGCAGGGGCAAGTAGGGAAGGGGCAGGGCCAAAACACACCTCCCCCAATAAAGTATCACTGAGATCAAAGATCTGAAAACACGGAACATGTTCATTTATTTCATATAATACAGGATCATTCTATGATTTACACTGACAAGATGAACCATTTAAATACATTTGCCAAACTGTAAAATTGGTCTAAAATCTAAGAAAATACAGCATGCAGATACACATAAATTTTCCTTTCAGTATTGACAGGCATGGTACGGACAAGTAAATACAGAACATTTATACAAATAGATCTGCATAAAATGACGTTGCTGTGTGACAGAAAATGCCACACGTGCTTCGGACGATAAATCGTCAAGTAACATCTCTTTTAAATTTGTATTGATAAAATCTACTGGAAAGATTGGAAACATGAAAAATAGCAGCCAAAATGATATTGAGTACAAAAATATTTACAAATCTGTACAGTAGAAATTAGTGCACATTTTACTAGTGGCATGGCAAAATGGCACTGCATGCTCTGAAGCCCTTTGTTACAACAGTAGTACGATTTGAGGGTGCGTATGCAAAATAAAACCATTACCAATTTAATGCTGTAAGCCTAAAACATTATGCTGTCATGCTTTGTGCCTTTTCCTAGGGGACTTAAACGGATTGCGTCTCATCTTACTACCATAGGAAAGCACACATGCATGACATTATTTGACAGGTCTATTCATCGAAAACCCCATCAATGCCTGTATTGTGTTCTGCTCGGGGTGGAGCAGTTACACAGTACCACTGATGCCCACGACATGGTCAACCCATCAAGGAACAATTTACATCCATACATGAGCATGTACCACTTTATAAGAACTCTGAAAACCCCAGGCAAAATGTGTCATGCACGTTTCAATTTCTGGAGTAGTCTAGAATGGACTGCATTCGCATACACCTGGACTTGGCACGACCAATGATACTTCTAGTATGGGTTGCTGTCCACAAAACATTTCAAGTTTCAAATGGTTATTGAAAGATGTACAATTAATTTTGCAATACCATTTAACAGTTCTGGTATTTCTTTTAATTTGTATCTATTTCTTTGTCTGGATTTTGGTATAATGTCTGGGGTGAAACACACCGTTGTATTTCCAAAACTTCTGTCTAAATTTTAATTTCAAAATGCTTACCTCTCTGGAAAAGGGTAAAAATTTGGATCTCGCTTCTCTGTATTTAAACATTTTCAGATTAAGTGAACATCTTACTTATTCTTGATGCAACAGTTCATAAGAATGAACACCACATTATCATTAAAAAGCTTCAACATTAACCCGACTATGCCTAAAATCAGTTAAGAAATTACAAAATGTTTAGAAAATCACTCACACAAGCCATCTAAATGTGTTGGCAATGTTGGTATTGAATTTTCTTTTCAAAAGGGGCAAGCTATAAAACTAAATTATTTAGCAGCAATGGAGGACAATATCTACCTCTTACTTAAACTGGCCGGCTCATTACCACAGTGGAATTATTTAAGCATAGGATTTGAGATTTTATGGGAGAGAGGATAAATTTCTGAAGATTTTACCATTGTGTTTTGAAAATTTTTACCGAGGCCATGTCCGAATTACTTGGCTGCAGCCAGATACATGTATTAAGCTTGAGTCTATATTAATGGCATAATGACCCAAGCCAGTTCTCATAGAGTCTTGTGTAATTTCAGGCTGCACCCAAGTGATTCTGACACTTAAAAAAAACTTTAAAAACCTGGCCTTACTTTTTTTTATTTAGTGATTCTGATGAAAGATTTTTTTACCTTCAGAAACACAGACCTCCCAACCTTCCCGATTTTGGCAGAAAATGTCTGCATTTTCACCCGATTTCACCCCTAAAATCTCTGCCAAATCGCAATTTTGACATGCCTATGTATTACCGGAAACTGTCCCTGTAATCTTGTGCATGTACCATAATACGACTTATCCGAAGTCAGTGCAGTACACATTGTGTGTGCCACGTCTGTGGCAGTATCCTCTTTTGATGCATACCAGCCGCAAGATGGACGTGATACAGAAAGTGTTCACGGACGAAAACTAGCTACAAGCTACATAGTAACTAGCACTGTGCGCATCGCGACGCTTGGTTTCACTAGGAACCACAGCTAAAAACGTTTGGATCCAAGACTAAGCACTGCTGTGAAATTGACCACGATCATGTCAAGTGTGGAAGCACCACGTGCAGTGAATTTTTTGCTGAATTTCACACTGAATTTTGCAGTGAATCAGCAATGAAAAATTACTGCGGACAATTTCAGAAGTTATAAACTCTTGTGGAAATCAAAATTTTATGGAACCAATGAGAATGTGCAGTACTGTGTAAATCATCACCGACATGGACTTGACTCTTGCACAATGCAATAGTGATTTTTCCTTGTTCATGGTAATACAGAGAATATTCCGATTCTTCATGAAAAATTTCAAATTTTGGGGAGGATTATTCTGAATCCTGGAAACATACATGTACTACAACGTCATCAAAGCATGTTGTAGCAAACTCCTATTTCCCCGATCGATCAAGTTATCTATCTTTGTAATATACAGCAGCCGAGAAAACATACTTGCTGCCCCCAAGTAGCGCCGGCTTGAGAATCTCGGTGAATTTGATCCGTCGGCGTGAGGTGGTCTTGAGGGCCTGCGGCTTGACATTACCCAGGTGCTTCTTGATGGTCAGCGTGGTGAACGCAAGGTCAGGGTCTTCTGCCTCATCTGTGGGGACGTAACCCGTCAGGACGACCAGCTCGTAGGAGCGGATGTCGTCCGGGATGATGCGGTATTTGCAGGAGAGGTCGTGGGTGACCATGACCCGGTTGATGACCTGGTCTTCTGACTCGTTGCAGGGCTTAACCTCCACCTTGTAGCACATGTGCCAGCTGTCTGTCATCTTGGTGATGAGGCATGACTGGAGGGCACGGTCCACCACGGGGCAGGTGAAGTTGCCCGTGTCAAACTCGCTGCTGAGGAAGGTGTCACTGGGCTTGGTGTATCCATTGCCCCATGGCTTGTCCATGTATAGACGTGGCTGGATCATGGACACTTTAGCCTTTGAAGCCTGCTCAGTGTCTACTTTATCTCTGTCCTCCTCTCTGTCCTTGTCTGTGTCCTCTTTTTCCTTCTTGACGGCCATCTGGGCCAGGGCCTTGTAGGCCATAAACGTGTGTTTCATGATCAGGTCCGGGTATTTGGTCCCCAGCTCCGAGCTCTCCACAGCACTCAGCTGGTCGAAGGTCATGAGCACAAAGCGTATGAGTGGCAGGAGCCTGTTGATGGCGGCCTTCTGGGTGGAAGCATGGCGGTGCTCCAGGATCCACCGGGCCACCAGCTTAAACATCATCAGCTCGTTGCACACCAACACGTTGGCACTCTCCACGATCTTGGCCAACAGATCCAGGGTCAGCAGGCCCCGGGAGGTCCCCGAGGCCATCAACCTGGTGAAGTCTAGCTGCAGCTTGCTCAGGCAGCGCTGCTCCATCCTGTCACCGAGGTTGGCCATGTTGACCAGCCAGTTGACCAGAATATCAATCTCGTCATGGGCGATGATCTCTGTGACGAAGTGATCGCATTCCTTAATCAGCTGAATATGCTGGTACTTGTCAGCAAGTATTCTTACCTATCAGCGAAAAAAAAAAAGATCAGGATCTGATAAAACAGGTAGACAATACAACCTTAACGCACTCTTAACTATGTGCTGGTATTAAAGCTTAATTTTGGCAAGAGCTCTTTCTAAAGGTAATAGAATCACTGGAAACAAAATCCCATAACTTGATCATCTTACAGCAACAATGTTATCTGTGGTGAGATGTATCCTCGCCGAGTAAAAGAACTGGAGGAAATCGTGAAACACCTCCACGCATTCCCGGGACTCAGCCAGGGTGATCTCCTCCTGGGTGGACTCCACCCACTGCGAGCCATTGAACATGATGCGGAACATCTCGCTCTGATTGGCTAATAGCATGCGGTGGGCATAGAACTCCTTTCCTCCGACAACCAGCTTGACGTCGCTGAAGTCTTTGTTGTTGAACTCCTGGGCCAGTTTGGCTCCCAGGCTGGCTGGGCAGTGGACGTGCCTCTCACGCACTGACATGCTTTTAGTGTGTTTAGTGTGGCTCTCGTCAAAGGAACTTCTACAGTCTAATCACACTAGGCTAATGCTCTTCAGGGACATTGATAACTAAGAATAAAATGAAAAAACCCAAAACATGTTACAGCTGATACAGAAGAGCAATTAAATAGGTCATTAGTCATGCCCCTTATTGATATATTGCACACACATTTATTTTTCTTGTCAAATTTGTGCTGAAGTACACGTACCCTGTGATGGCAACACTCAAGGTACAAACTTGTGCACAATCAGTGAAACATGCTGTGATTTTCTTTGTACAATATATGCAGTGCGGAAATGAAATGTTGTTTGACGTTAGAAACATCGTGATATTACTTAATGCAATTTTTTGTGGGCTGTGGCTGTTACATACATGTATGGCTGGTGATCAATGACTGTGTAATGCATTTCGTCTTCTTCGTTTAAGTTGAGTTTTAGCTAAAGTCTGATAAAAATCAATCGGTCCCATTGCAATCCAACTTATCCAAGGTTTACTATAGGATATACAAATATTCCTGAGGCCAAGTGTCAACCCTCCCACCAAACATTTAAAAGTAGGCCTAAAAATATTTTCATGCACAAACACAAACAAGATGGTATGATCATAATTATTTAAGCATCCGATAGCCCATCTATGTTAATATCACATACAACATTGCAGCATACATGGGACATCATTGGCCAGCCATACCACACCACACGCGCACTTGTGGTGTGGAGTACCCTAAATTTGTGCATTCAAATATTCGCACATCCAACTTTCTCATTGTGAAACTCTTCAAATAAATTAGACACTGACATTAATTTACTGTCCATGATCAATCGTCACTTCGTCATTTTTCTTTTTGTAGCTTTGTGCGAGTTAAAAGCTTTTCCAGGGAGAATTTGGGGAAAATATCAAGAGCATAAAGCTTTACTTTACAGACTAAATGCAAAAATGAACCAGTTGAAATTTTGTAAAAAATGGATAAATAATTGCTGTTTGTTCACGAATGATGTTGGATGTCTGATACAGGAACTAATGACGACTTCGATAAACTTTCACTAAATAATGAAGGCGTAATAAAACAATATGGAGCCTGAAAAACTGTACTGCGCACCTTATATTTTGAGATTCCCGTTGGCGACAACGGGCATGGATTCGGTGGCACTGTATATGTGACTTTTTTTCAGAAACACATGTAGAAAGAGGCATTTTGTCATAGTATCCAGATAAATAACTCATATTAATGCTAATTATGATTTATTTGAAAGAATCAAAATTCATGCCTCACTGTAATTTCAAATTAAATTGAAAAAATAAAACTGTAGGAAACCGAAAAAGAGAAAGTGATAGGAAAATGGGAAGTCACGCCAAATAAAAGCGTTTTTTCCTCAAAATGCATCACTAAGCCAAAGTAATTAATGCAAAAAAATTTCCTCATTCAAGAGACATTAACTACTGTAGTAGATTTTTCAGAAGTAGGGCATAACTGATACCCCGTAAAATGGCGCTTGCAATGTACGTGCGCGAATTAAATTATGGTGACATAGGTTTTACTACCACTACTGCAGCCAACACGACTTATTTGCAGACAACATTATTCCTGTCATGCCTGTTGTTTCTGTGACATCCGATGTTCTTCATAACATTATTCCATATAGGATTTTAGTCAATCTTTTTACTGCTGAAAACATGAAAATGAAGCCAGTATATTTAAGAATAAATTTTGGTCAAAGTACTAAGTGCGCGAATTATGGGAACTCGTAGCTCAAATGAGTGGAGCGTTATTATTGCTCTTTTTCGATTTTGGACGGGATAGACCGATCCCATCCAAAATCGAAAAAGAGGAATACTAACGCTCCACTGACTCTAGCCCCACTAGTGTGGCTCCTTAAGGATAAATAGGGAGTGATCCGTGCCACACTAGTGGGGCTACACTGACTCTAGAGCTAGGTGACTCGCATCGCAGGCTTATTAACGTTATCGCAACATGACTAATACCAATGGGGTTTTCTGATCAGTTAATTCGCATTGGATATACAAAGATTAAATCAGTCACATCCAAGAATACCTGATTATGGTTCCCATCCAGATGCTTCGGCTGCTTTGAACTCGCCACAAACATAACAAAGTGAAAGGAGAACAACTGAATTCTCGGGAAAAGGCCGAGGTTATTTTAAAGCTCCAACGAGAGCGTTTAATGTCGTCTCGTTCCCTATTGCAAACCGCATCTCTCACGCAAACACACCTGGGGAGCAGACTATTCAGGTTATGCTTAACCCGGCTACGGCCGGCCGTGACACGTGCGTCTATGGAACTATCTGCCGCTGCCAGCCAGTGGCTTGGTGAGGTACACGTGTTGTTCCCAAGCAAAGTCCACTCAGCTGTATCTTTCGGATACGGCCAAGAGGCTTAAAATAGCAAGTATCCCACAACCACTGTAGCATCCGGGAAACTGAATACTTTCCACTGTCTTGTTGCTAGAGCGCGGGGGGCTGCGGTGGTGAACATTTTTCGAGAAATTTGAAGGTCGACAAATGACTGGAATTACGCATTTCGACTGTATAAATAATATATTTCATCGAAGTAAGTAACAAGGATATTCATCAGTGAAATGCACGTAAAATTTATGCAGAAAATAACTTTCTTTTCGGGTTTGCGCTAGTCCTCTAGTTTGGAGGACGGCCCCATTCATTACCCCAAGCTGTGGAGTCCCGTTCGTGGGAGAGGAGCGGACGTCGGACCCCACAGTTCTGGTACGCTGCGCTCCTGTACCGTAGGCCACATGATCATGAATGAATGGGGCTATTTGGAGGAGCGCTATCCGGCCCTGGCCTGCCCTGTGACTGTATTATGAAGAGGGGGAAAATAGGGCTGAGTCAATTTGAATAATTCACTATCTGAATATTCGGTTGTACTGACTGGCAGATTGTTGATGAACAAACCACAAACTCTGTTGCAATAATGCACACAATTAATTGTACATTATAATCACTATAATAGCTTCTCACTTCAACCACAATTGAGCAAGATGTAACAGACTAACGATACTTCTTGCCCTGTTGACAATTTATTCCTTTTAAATTTTTTAATGATAATTTACTTTTTGAATCATTGTAAGATATATTGTTCTGTCGCTTTTCATTTAAATGTGCTTGAAACAAGCCTCCATAGTGCAATTTTCTCATTTAAAACCAAAGAAACTTCTTCCTTTTCATGAATTGTGCATTCGAAAATTCAGATTCGGAAAATGATATTCGAATATTCGATAATCATCGAATATTTGGATATTCGGCACAGCCCTATGGAAAAATAGTCATATCTGACGTGTTTGTATGTTTCTTTACTGCAGGTGACGCAAATTGACAGACACACTCCAAAAATGAGTGAACAACTCAAATACATTGTGGAGCAACTGAACAAGGAGCCATTCAAACGCTCCTACAACCTGATCAGCTTTGATTCGTTGGAGCCAATACAGCTCCTGCAAGTCACCAACGATGTGCTGGCTGAGATCAACCCTCAAGTTAGTCCTGATGACGGGTGTGATCAGTCAGTTAGCATTATTGCATGATTGTGTTGTGCCATCAGTCGATACTCGGCTTCCCTTTTTCAAAACAATCTTCCACATCTGCAAATTTGAAAGAAAAGTTTTTTGACTGATGGTGGAGTTATCAGAAAAATTGAGCAGTCAGATTTGACAAATTGCAAAAAGATTGAAGGATCGCGCCCAACACTAATAAATGTCACCCTGGACTTCTGAAGTGTTACTGCCTTCTTTGACATACAAGTCCCTAACTAGAGTCTGTTAAAATGCCGTAAATTATTGACTTGCTCTTTTCTTTGAAACTGAAAGTTAAAAAAATGGAAACCTTCATCGTTTTATTTAATTAACATTTTGTTTGTATTGAGGATGGGGCAAAAAAGTAGTATATAGCCCCCTTATTTGTTTATATCGTAATATTTTAGTAATTTATTAACAGATGTGCAATGACCATGCTGTGATTAACATAAGGGGATTTATTTTTTTAAATCCTAGAACAAGTTGGATATTCGCGAGGAAACTGCGGATGCCACTGCCATGCGTATGATGAATGAACTGCGTGTCTTGAAATACAAGCCCAACGAGGATGTGTAAGTGGAATGAAACCTAAAGCATTCTTGCCAGAGATTTGCTCCAAACTTCCAAATTGCTCTTCTCTGCAGGAAATGAATTTCATATTCTTTTTGTTCGTGTACGTAACCTTTAAATAGGCATCAAGCCCTGAGTAAAGAGTAACTGACTGGGCTGTACCTTCCCCAATCCTAGAAAATCCTTCAAAACCTCCCAATCTATTTTGAAGGATCTGAGAGGCAAGAAAGAAGATACTCGAAACGTTCAGTTGGCATAAACATTGTAGTATTGACACGAAACCTGCCCATTTCTGTCAAAATGCAAATATTTATATCAGAATGGAAGTTGAAAACAAACATGCATCAAATGTTTAATAGCAACATATTTTTTTCTTCTTTTATGTTCTTTTTTTTTTTTCCCGTCACAGGAGCACGTTCCGTCAGGGTTTGGTGTCGGGCTACAAGCCTGTCATCTACCCCATCCTGGTGTGGCTCTTCCAGAAGATGTCAGAGCTCAAGAAGCGGGCCTACCTGGCGCGCTTCCTGGTCAAAATTGAGGTGCCCCCGGAGATCATGCAGGACGACCAAGTGACTGATACCTACGCTCAGGTCAGCGAGAAAAAAAAAAACAGACAATGCGAACACTGGCTCTACATAAATTTGCTTAACAGCTCCCAGTGTTGTGGCTTCTAACCACAGAATTGTCCTTGTACAATTACTGTTGTAGATAATGTCGATTGCTTGAGCGGAAACTGTTCTCTATAATTGGCTGAGCAATGTTCATTTCTTAGCCGCTTTGTGGATTATCTGGATATCCTTCTAGGATTACCATATTGTGAGTGGCTGAATTTTTTTTCGGGGAATGACATTACTGGGTATGGACATCTTAATTACAGTATGCCGAGATGGTCGACCAGTTTAAGGAGCTACACAAGGAATCAGAGTCTCTGAAGACATCTGGCTTCTCCACTGTTGAGATCCGACGGGACATAACCCAGATGGAGGAGGAGAAGGAACAGATTGTCAAGAGAATCGAGCGGCTCAAAAAGAGGGTAGGTCTATTTCTAGTTCATTTAATAGTTACCACTCAGGAATTCAGTGAACCTGTCGTTGGACATTAAAGGGTCAAAGTTATTGAAGATGTTGCTAAATTTTTGCTGTCGTTTAGGTTGAGACCGTCAAGAACTATGAGAGGATGCTGGAGATTGCCCGAAACTTCCGGAAGGAGCAGGATCGGGAGATGTCCCTGGCCCAGCAGAAACTAGACCAGAAGAACCAGGTATGTGCCAAGAAATCTTGATATGAGAAACCTCCTTCACCTCCTACACCACTCCAAGGAAACCCCCTTGTAACCAAAGAAATGACGCAGTCTCTGAGGTGGTTTATCAACCGCATCCATTAGCATCAGAAAAGAAACTAAAAAGCTTGTCATTCTGTGGTTGTCCTGCCTTGCAGATGCATCATGCTGATCAGCGACTGCAGCGGTTTTCACAGCAGCTCAAAGACATCAAACAGTCCACAGTGGGAGCGACAGCTGAAGGTAACAATCACAACCTCAAACCTTTTTCTACTTTCATTACAAGTGTTAAGAGGAGTTTGCTTTGTTCAAATGACAGACTTCATGTTGCATAATGTAAAACATTACTATAAAGTAAGGGCACTTAAGCATCATACACGCCTGTAGTGTGTACTCTCATCCTCTAGTGTTAACCACTCGCCGCCGGGGACTCCGGTTTCGGGCACCGTGTGTTTATACGCGTCGCCGGGTTTCCGAAATCGGACAAACGGAACTGGGCCTTGTAACAAAAGACCAGGCTTCTGGGCATTCTCGACATTTTGTCAATCTCAATAGTGGAGATAATGCAGCCTTGTTTTGAAACAGTATACCACGGTTTAGGGCATTTAGTGAGAGCGGATTACCACCGGGGACAAAAGCGCT